CTGCCTATGAATTTACAGTTCCTACTAAATTTTATATTCCTACTCTTTTCTTTCTTTTTTATGACAACAGCTTATGTTTCATCCGTTTTCGCTTCGCTTTATAATAAGTATAATATGTAGCTGAAGTCTTCTAACTATCTACCAAAGTCCTCAATAGTAATAATGTTTCTAACTCATCATCTTACATTATTTTCTTAGTTATTAACTAATTAATTAAAGCTTAAAAGTCACTTAAATGTTCAGCAACAACAAACATTCCATCTTGTTATTTCAAATTTACAAGCTCCTTAATGAAAAAAGCTTTATCCCATGTTGTTTTTCTTTTTTATATATATTTTTTAATTTTTTCTATAATTTTTAGACATTTATCTCTTTAGATATGTGGTGATATATACTATCTTCAATCCATTATTTGATAGCTCTAAATCTCTGATAGCTTTCATTTGCTCTTTTTTCCAAGCGTCTTGTTATTTCAAAGTTTTGGTTGTGTTTTTAATCTTCTAATTTCTTGCATTTTGTGAGATATGATGATGAACCGACTAAAAAAAGTATAGAATTGACCCAATTAAAGCCAATTGCTCAATCTCTACCTAATTTCGTCTTCTTATCAAGCTAAACCACAACATATATGCAAATTAAAAGTGTTCTGATTTACAGTTCATGAAATTTTTAACTCGTATTATCCAAGAGCTGAGGTTGTGTTAGTGTTTTTTTTCTTTCCGTCATAGAGTAAATCCAAGTGGTCAATGCTATGCTAGTTCAAAGCCTCAATGTTTTGTCTCTGGAATAAACTATAACCCAGTTTTTCTAGTTTTGCAAAATAAATTAACTAGTTATTTTAATTTATAAAATTAATTAATTAGTCTCTTGGCTAATGTTGACCATGTTTAATTAAATAATTTTTTTAAAAAAATTATTCTCATCAATCTTTTCATATTATTTACTTATATATATATATATATATATATATATATATATATATATATATATATATTTCCTAAAACAAAAGGAAAAACGAAAATAAATTGAAAAAGAACATAAACCAAATGAAAATGACCAGTTAGTTAATTTTTAAACTAGATAAATTATTTAATTCATTTTTCAAAAATAGATTGACTAATTTGTAATTTAATCTTCTCACATGTTGATTTGTCAAATTAAGATGTATTTTTTTCTTTTATTTATTTTTCATGGAAACTTGAAAATTTTATTGATAAAAATGAATACAAAGTAAGTTTTATAGTTTCCAATGAACACCAAAGATATTTACAAAAATATTACGTCTAAAAAAACAAAATAGGATGTAATTTGACAAGGGAAAGTGCAAGTTATAGAAACTGTTTCCATTCTTCTCTTTTCCATTTTTCTCATGGGATAGAGCTAGAGTAATTGAGCTTGCAAGTTTCATATTCCTTCATCTTTATTGTATTTGCTAAAATAAATAAAATTTCTCCTTTTTTTTTTTACAATTTTTTAAAATAAAAGAAATAAAAACAGAAAATATTGCTAAAAACGATCCTTAATTAGGGAGGAGGGGGGAGTTATGCGAGTGTCAACTCGACCGTGTGATAACAGCAGAAAAATAAGGAAGATTTGCTTATCAGCCTCTTTTTTTTAATTAAAACTAATTAGGCCTTGAACTATATAACAAGTACAAATTGGAGGTTATTTAAAAGGAGTTCTGGGTATTTGAAACAGATAAAACAAAAGAGACAATCCCCCCTACAGCCATCTATTTGTCCAAACTCAGTTTCATCCTTCATCCACACAAGGTAAATACCTCGTCTCTTTCATAATATTTGATTCCAGTTCTCTGGGTTTTGTTTCTGGATTCGTCAAGAACAAACGATGACAGTGACTCCGTCACTATCATCACGCAATATCTATTAGTTTAACTACATAACCCACCTCCTGGCCTTCGTTTGTCGTCAATGAAGAATGAAGGAAAAAGGTGAGAATTCCAGTGCTATTTGTTTAAGTTTCAATCTGTTTTGGTAGGGAAATTTTCGAAACTGATATATTGGGATGCTGTGTTTGGAATAGAAGAAGAAGATGAAGAAGGAGGAGGAGGGGGAAAGGGAGAAGGGAGGAAGAGGGTTACTCGGGCCAGGGAAAGAAATGGTTTGGGCTGGATTTTGTCGGTTTTAGGATAGGCTTGGTTGGGTTGGGCTAAGTTTGTTAGGCTGGGCTGCTCAGTTGTTGGTTAGGCTTAGGCTAGAAGATGGACTAGGGTTTGTGAGGTTGGGCTGGCTAGGTTTCAGAAGGCTTGGGCCTAATTTGGGCTGGTCCAGAAAAGAATGTGACTAATGGGCTCGACCCAATGGAGCGAGAACCAATTGACCTAATGGCCTAATGGACTTTCAAACTTTTAGGATTTATTTAACTAGCTTTCCTTGCTTAATTTAATCTAAATTTTTTATTTGTGTTACACGTGGTTATTTTTAGCTGAATTTTTAATTTTTTACAATTTTTAAAATTCATTTATCCCTTATTTTGAATTTATTTAATTTCATACCTAGTTGTTAATTGCTCTAATTGTTTAAATTTCAATTTAGCCTATTGTTTAATGTTATTTAAATCTGAATTTTTTAGTGGATGATTGTGTGTTTCTGTATAAGTTATGTGTATTTTTTTTTTTGTGAATTAATTTCCTATTTATTTAGCATTAATTTCCTAATAGCAAGTGAACTCCTGCGAATTGGATTTCTATTTAAGGAAAATATTATTATAAAAAACAATCTTAACCTAAAATTTTAAACTATTTAATGAGATTTAACGAATGATTTTATATTATTCTCTAACAACTATTTAGTATAATTTATATTTTAATTAGTCGAGTTTAATTCCAAAGTTATTTAAGCATTATGTTTAGTATTTGTTTTATAAACAGATAATCACTATTGTTCTGACAAATGGAACATCATTTATTAATGATAATTTTCTAATAAATAGATAACATTATTTTTGGTCTATTTATTATAGATTGTTTTTCTTCTAACTTGTAGAATGAGATATTACTTTTAACTATTTTGCTTTTCCTTCGTAGACTTAAAAATCAAGTTTCCAAACGATCTTTAATTGAATCAGCAGATTTGATTAATTTGTAATGCTAGTTGTCTCTTATTTGAAAATTGTTTGCATCACTCTGGAACCTATTTATGGTCCTCGTCATGCATTTAATTAGATATCGACAATTATCTCTATCAATGAATTTTCTTTGTTCAATTATTTCAAACGGAGACTTTATGCATTAAAAAACAAGAAGGAATTCATTGAGGACACTCAGGAGACCTTGACAATGGAGTGAGGTAAGTTGGTGGCATTGCACCTACCTTGATTAATTATTACAGTCATCTGCATTCTAAATCAAATTAATATTCATAATTGATTGTTAAATAATATTGCATTGGAAAAATTAACATTAAATTAAATTCACACTAAATCATGAAATCTTATGCATGCAAATTCTTGGTTTGGTCTTGCCATTTAATTTTTGCACTCTATTTTAAATGACGGTAAGAAGTTGGTTTTTAGGGTCAGGGAATGACTCATCCTCTCAATCATTTTTATTTTTTATTATTTTTTTAGTAAATTTCAAAATAAAGTAAAATGAGATAAAATAAAATAAAATAAATAAAACAATAAAAAATATGAAAAAAATTTTGGATTATGACAAAAGAATAACAACAATTAAACTGTTATTGAAAGTGTTAAGTATGTATAATATTTGAATTTAAAGTAATCCATAATTATAGATTTCTACTGGTTTTTTTGTTTGTACAATAAAAGATCTCATATTTAAATTTAAAAAATCGAAAAAATAAACAAATCTCTTTTAGCATCATACCAACCATATCGAATCGAGCCCTCTACTAGTAGTGCTTGGTGACCAGAAAATATATATTGCTCATCAATTTCACCCCAAGATGTAGTGTATCTTGACTGCAAAATATTGCCTGCCAACGTCACCTATGTTACCAAAACAAACGTCACCCCATTCTAGAATGCTTTAATTTTTCCCCCTTTTTCTTTCGGTGTGGAGGTGGTCACCGGACACGTTTCATGTGGAAGTATATACTATAAGTATAGATAGACCCCCTCCTCAGTTATCACAATCATCCCACCTAGCTAAACCCTCTTCATCTTCAAAACCACCTATCTCCTCACTAGCTGGCTCTTAATTATTTCCTACAAATCCCTGATTTTTTCTTGCCACAAATGGGGTCTCAAAGAAGTAATCATTACTTGACCATAATAGTCTGCGTTGCAATTATTTTTGTTTCGTCTTCTGAAAATATATTAGCAGCAAGACCATTAGATCAAGGAGCACAGCAATGGTTAGAGAAAAATCTTAAATTTCGATCTCTTCAAAGGGGTCCAGTACCACCTGCTTCGGGGAATTCATGCTCATATATTCCAGGCAAAGGGCATTGTGTAAATGGGTGATTACTATATATAGCGATGTCAAGTCGTGATTATTTCACTTTTTTTGTTATGGAAAAATAAGTAAAATATTTCTATCTATGTAATTTGTTAAAATAAATAAATTTGGCCATGGAAGAAAAAATCGCTCAGGTGAAATTAGCAGCAGAGGTGGGTGATTTTTCTTGGGAGGCCAGATTGTGTGTTTGGCTGTGTTGCTCTCAATTATCATTACTAGTAGTTTGTACGCTTTTTTGAGCATGGCAGAATTTCCTTACATTTTACCTTGTTTTGGTTTTGGAAATATACCTATATGTACTTGAACGCTTGTGAGTTGCAATAAATGTTTTACCTGATATTAATTTTTTTTTTTTTTGTCTCGAATTTAAATTCTGATAATTTTTGTAAATATGACTTATGAATGCTTTAAAATAACAAAATAAACATCACCGTTTCTTCATGAGCTGGATGCAAAATATATAGGTATTCAAAACTCACTTTATTGAGGCTCTTAAAGGTACAGTGCAAGGCGGCAGAAAAATGAGGTAAAAGTAAAGTTGGGGAAGAAAGAAAGGGAAATGGCAGGGAGAGGAGGAGGAGGAAAAAAGGAAACACTTCAACAAAGGGAAGAAAAGGCCAAGATAACGAGCCGAGGCCCAATGAACACAAGACCATATGAATTAGCGGTTTTTCTCTTCTTTATCGTGCAAAACCGAAATGATTTATATTTTATTTTTTTATTTTTCGGTTTGGCTTTTCAATTTTTTTTTCGATTTAAACCAAAAATTAATTTTTTACTAACTTTTTTTTCTATGGTTTTAAGTTTTAAAATAATATAAATAACAAAAAATCGATATATTAACATTATTATAAATATATATTAATGGGATTTTCAAATACATTATTTTGTTTCAATGATAAGATCGAATTTCTGAAATAAATTATAGTTTAGACTATGGTAACAAAAAATCTGAGATTAATAAACATGGAAAAGAAAACATTATATTAGAATACAATAATTGGATATTAAACGTGGGAAATCAAAGAGCCCTTATGGTAAAAACAAAAGATAATGATGAAAAAGAAACTGCATAGATTTTATTATTGAAAAATATCGATAATAATATCCAACCTGCAATTAATTTATGGAATATATGAAGATTTAATGAATACATGAGTTTGTAGATCATCAGAGAAATCTATATTTTCCTCACGTAATCGAGAAATCATACGTCCGAGACTTTTGTTGGTTAAAAAAAAAAAGAATCATTTAGTATGAAAACTCTTTGTTTTGAAATTTTTATTTTATAAACAGTAACCAGAATTAACACAACTTTAAAAAAATACTTTGTTTGATCCAAAAAAATTTGGAAACTGGGTATTTGTTTTTATATTTTCTAAAATAAAAAATATAAAAAAATTATCCTTTTACTTTCCAATTTTGAAAACAAAAATAGAAATAAAAACATAAAATATTGATAAGAAACGATCCTTAATTGTGGAGGAAGGACAAGTGCATTGCGAGCGTCAGCTGGACCATGCCATCGGAGCAGGAAAATAAGGAATATTTGCTTATGAGCCATTTTTTATTTAAATAATTAGGCCTTGGACCATATAACAATTAAAAATTGGAGGTGGTCTTTTTTTATACATATATATAAAAAGATTCCTTCCATCACTTGGACCAATAGATGTGAAATTCACCAGATTTTAACTTTATTATAATCAACTAACTTTTATGAGAAATTTCGTCATTAAACCAAATTAAGTATTAGTTTTGTACTCGAGAGAGAGGTTGGTGGACAGCACTTTTTGCTTTTTTGGATTCTTTTAAAGAGCAGTGGAGAACTTTGAGTAAACTACAAATTAGACCATCTCATTTTTAGAAATGAATTAATTAAACCTTTTAAAAAATAATTATTTAATCTTTATGTTTTGAAATTTATTTACAATTTAGTTCTTTTTACTGTTTTGATCTTTTATTTTAGGAAGTGAAAAAAAATATGAAAAAGTATGGCAAAATAAGAAATTTTGTTAAATAAAAATAATATTAAAATAAGCACAATCAACATTGATTACAGGGTTAAATAATAATTTTAGAAACAAAAAAAAATAATTAATTTTTTAAAACTAAAAAGACTAATTTATAATTTACTCATATAACTTTGGAAGATCGGCGTAAGTAAATTTTTTGAAGTTTTCAGAAGTCGAAATCATTTAATCCTGATTCTTGGATTATTTACAATTGCATTTGAAATTAAGAAAAAAAAAGATCGTATTAACAAGAAAGAATCTAAACTCAATCATTTTCTTTTTCCTTAAAACATGTGAATAACAGGTAGATATTGTTACTCAACTACAATCAGTATTTTTATTTTTAAAAAATCTCAAATTTAAGTTTTTATTTCATCAAAAAGGTTTATTTAGTTAAAAAAAGAGTGAAAATATTAACATCAGGGTTGATCTCCAAGAAGAAGAAGATTCGGTGGATATATTGGTTTTCAAAATGTTTACCATGTATAATATTTGAATTTAAGGACCAAATTTAAATTTAATCAGTATGATTACCATTATAAATGTGACTTGAAAGAAGCCGATCCCGATTAGCAGTGGACCCCTCCTGCGTGCTGAACAGAAAATTTTTCGGACCCCAAATTCTACAATGCTTTTGAAATATTTGAAATGGATTTATAATTTTCAAGAAAATTATGATATATTTCAAAACAGTTAATGGAATACCATAATATTGTAAAAAAGATCATAATTTTCGGATCATTTACGATCTCATTTGAAAGCAAGAGAAAAAAGTGATCATAATAACGAAATAAAGTTAAACTCAATCACTTTCTTTTCTTCAAAACGTGGGCATAACAAGTAAATATTGTAATTTAGTTAAAACCAGTATCTTTATTTAAAAAAAATACATTGAATTGAAAATTTTATTTATTTATTTATTTTTTTTAAAGAGTGAAAAAGGTTAACATCCGAGATTATTTAAAAAGGATCGATAATAGACTTTTTTTTAAAATGTCAATCATTTATAATATTTGAATTTAAAGACCCAATTTAATATGTATCATTATCATTGTAAAAGTAACTTGAAAAAGGTCAATTGTCGTTAGTGGTGGAATCCAAACAAAAAATGAATAACTCATTAATTTATTGTTAACGTAGAAATATATCCATATTCTATAATTTAACTAATATAATTTGTTTTGACATTGTTAGAGGTTAATCTAAATTATATTTCGAGGCCTCACTTATCGACTTAAGCTTTTAAGTGAGATGATCCTTTAATATGGTATCTTTATTTTTTTAAAAAAAATATTGAATTCAAAATTAGATTTTGTTTTTTTAAAAAAAAAAGAGTGAAAAAGGTTAACAAATGAGTTTATTTAAAAAGTCTCGGTAATAGACTTTTTTTTTTTTTAATATCAATCATTTATAATATTTGAATTTAAAGACCTAGTTCAATTTGTATCATTGTTGTTGTAAAAGTAACTTGAAAAGAGTTGATCGTCATTAGTAGTGGGATCCAAACAAAAATGAATAACTCATTAATTTAGTGTTACGTAAAAATATATCCAGATTTTGTAACTCAACTAATATAATTTGTTTTGATACTCGTTATAGACTAATATAAATTATATTATGAGATCTCACCTATTAACTTAAGTTTTTAGGTGAGATGGTCATTTAATATAATATCGGAATTTGGTTGACCAAGAGGTCTTGAATTAAAATTTCACAATTTCTAATTTCTCAAGTATTAAGCACAAGGTAATGTGAATCACTTTCACTCGAGGAGGTGTGTTAAAGACTAATATAAATTATATTATACAATCTCACCTATGATCCTTTAATAGACACATCTTCGGTATTTAAGATTCTTCTGATATTGTGATGAATTACATGAATCGAGTAAATTACAAAGTAAATAATATTTTTTGAGTAGAGAGTAAAAAATATAATTAAACTAATTGCATAGCATCAACTAGAAAAATAAATATAGAATAATTAAATAAATAAAGATTGTTATGCGAGTCGTTGATGTTTTTTTGTGTTTTTTCTATTCTTGTTTCTATTTCTCTCTCGCCTTCTTTTTTTGTTTTTATCTTATTGATAGGGGTGATCATTTGGTTTTTCAATCCGGTTTTGATGTTTTTTTTTGTTTTTGTTTAACCGAATTGGCTAAAAAAAATAAAATCGAAACCTAACCGAATTTTTTTGTTCGATTTTTTGGTTTTCGATTAAAAACTAATTTTTTTCTTCTGAAAATCAAATTATTTTGCTTTAAAAAATATCAAACTTGCACAATCAAATATTACATATTTCACATTTGATTGTATAAGAAAATTGTGTATGATTATTATTATTTTTCTATACTAAATTTGTTTCTATTTATATTATAAACTAAATTAGTTGGGCTTTCTCATTATTTTTTCAATCACGCTACAATTTATATTTTGTTAATTTTTCATATTATTTTTAGTCTACTTATTTTGTTCATATTTTATTGTTGAATAGATAATATGAAAAATCCAATTTTTAATTTATGTTTGTGCCAATTTTAATACAAAGAGATAATTTTTTTCCCATGAGGTTTTAGGATTCACCCACACATAAACTTGTGTATTTATAAAGAATTACTTTATCACGAGTCTTTTTTTTATTTGTTTGTGAGTCAATATAATATAATCAATTATTTTATTATTTCAATAAATAATTAATGAAAAATATTTTTATTTTAAGTAGAAAAAAATCATTAAAGCTATTGTTTTTTTAGTTAAACCCATAGATGCCTCTTTTATTTTATTTTTTTTAAAAAGAGCTTGGGTATGTGTTTTTTTTAAAAAAACTAATTCGGTTTTCGATGCAAACTGAATTTGAAAAAAAAAAACCTGAACCAAAATAATTTCGATTTTCGATTTCAATTTTTTTAAAAAACCGAACCAACATTGCTAATTCGATTCGATTCGATTTTTTGATTTTAACCGAATAATGCTCACCCATGCTTTTTGAAGCATGAGGAGCCATTCTAGACCAAAACTGGAATTCATATACAGACAAATAAATCTGATCCTATTTTCCAAAGCCCCCCAATGTCCAAAAGCAGAGACTTTCTGCCCTTCCTGCGTTCACATGTAAAATGGTTTGTTTTTCAAGGGGTTCACTGCAAAAATTTCCTCCGTTCAATTACAATCTGATAATTTTGGATTTTTTTTTTATCAATTTACATAATTTAAATCTTAAAATATTAATTTTTGGACAAATCATATTCAAATTCGTTAATTGTGGATCAATCGTTTTTTTTTTTGCTATCATTTATTTTTTAAATTAAAATGTTTTCTCCATTTTTCAAGAGAGTTGTTTTTTTCACTCGTTTACCTATAAATAAAAAAAAGGGTTTATTAAATTTATCACTAAACTTGTTTGTGGTTCTCTCTGAAAAAATAAAAATAAAATAAAATTAGAAAAGTTAGAAAAATGAAAACTCTTAACAATTTTAAATACATATTATATATTTGAATCAATTATGAGAAAAAAAATCCTATAAAACTTATAAAGATAAAAATATATTAAATAAATATAGTTATATTTAAAATTTAGTGATTAACAATTACAAGAATACATTTATTAACATGACAAAAGAAAAGTTTCAGTTAAAATTAATTATTTGATAATTTTAATTGATCGAATTCAACTAATAGATATTTATATTTTATTAATTATAGAAGTTGATTGCATTAATGGATAATGATAATACATAAAAATTATTTTTAAAAATTAAAAAATATATATAAATAACACATGCGTCTGCCCTCCAGCTTTTGGAATATTTGGAAATTGATTTATAATTTTCAAGACAGGCGTCTGCCCTCCAGCTTTTTAAGTCAACGTTTCACATTCTATTTTATATAATTTTCCCCTCTTTCTTTTGGAAAATATAGTATATAAATATGAATCTACTCCTCGCTTCCCATGATATATAAGACCGCCCAGCTAACACCTTCATCTCCAAAACCACTCATCTTGCTAGCTAGCTAGCCCTGTACACATACCTGAAGCATCTGATTCTCTACAAGCCCCAGATTTTTTCTTGCCACAAATGGGGTCTCAAAGAAATAATCGATACTTGACGATAATTCTCTTCATTGCAATTATTTTTGTAGCATTTTCTAAAAATATATTAGCAGGGAGGCCATTAGATCAAGGAGCAGAGAAAAATCTTATAATTCAATCTATTCAAAGGGCTCCAACACCACCTGAGGGGCCGTTTGCATCCAATCCATGCAAATATGTTCCTGGAAGCAGTAGGTGCCAGCCAGGTGAATAAATCCGCTCCTCCGTTGTCATGTTCACTGACAAATAGTTAGTGCATGTCTGCCTCCCGCGTTGACTTGATAGAACTATTTAACAATATCATTAAGTATAATATTGGAAACATTGATGATAATGAAACGCCCAAAATTTTCTTGTTTGTGTTATGCATGTGCATGCTTTGTATTAATTTTATTCTTGTTTGGTATATGTGATTGATATTTTTTTTAATTGCTTTTATTATGTAAGGTGTTTGGATTAAATGTATTTTAAAATTTAAGAAAAATAAAATAATTAGAGCTAGTTAAGCTTGATTAATTTTATTAAGTAGAATAGACCATAGTAATAGAAATTATGATTTTAAAATAGAAGTGTAGAAATGAGTTTAAAAAAAAAAAAAAAAGAAAAAGAAGCAGCCTTTGAAATAAACACCCCCAATTCTCTTATTTTCTTTTCCTTCATTTCTTTTTCTTTCCCCTTAATTCTCTCTACTTCCTCCATCAAGATGATGAAAAAGATATTAAGTTAAATTAAAAACTTGGAAGGCTTGGAGGGATTGATAAATTGAAGTTGGGGTTTGAAGATACAATTGACAAAGGTAAGACTTTTGTCAATTAAGCTTAAAATTAAGATTTTTAAGTGTGTTTATTAACGAATTTGGAGTTAATTTATATTGTATATTGGGTTTATTATTTTGATTAAAAATTGAGAAATGTTAGGGTTAGGAATTGAATTGAATTGAATTTAGGAGTTTGATGATTAAACACTTATTTATTCTAATTGATGCTTGAAATGAGATAATTGTGATGTGAAATCGATTATTAGACTACAAGATTGAGAAATCTCTAAGTTGGTTGAGATGATGGGTTATAAAGGCAAATTGTGTGAGGACTTGATTGAAATGAAATTTGAGAAAAATATGATTTAAGTGATTTTAATTGGTTAGGTTATGATTAATTGTCTTGAGGAAATGATTTCGAGGTTAATTTGGAGTTTAATTGGTTAAATTCTATTATTTGAATTATTTTAGAATTAATGATTAAATTGAGATTTAGTGGATGCGGGATGTTATATGAATTCTTTTAGGATTTTATGGAAGTGTTTTTATAGTGATAAAGTATTTTGGAAAGGTTCATGAATAGTGAAATACGACTTTTGAGATTTATTAGTTAATTATTGAGTAAAGAGTTTAATTATGAGTTTATTTATTTGAGTTGAAGATTTATTATGGATTGTTTTAATGATCGAATTTTAAATTGTTTGAAAAATGATGCATTATTATGTGTAAATATGATTATGTGATTAAATGTGTTATGTAATAGAATGCATATGTAATTGATATGCTATGTAAATGTACAAGTTTATGACATCTTTCCATGTGCATTTGCATCATGAGCACCGATTTACATATTCTATGAAATGCTTTGAAATCATGATATGCATGAAAGGCAATGAGTTTTGATTTTAAAGCAAAATGTATTGATAAAAATATATGATATTAGTAGGAAAATGAGTAATGGTTCTATCAATATCATATGATTTTGATAAAAGGTATTGATTGGAGAATCGATAATAACCCTACTAATATCATATGATTTTAATAAAGGATATTGATAAAAGTATAGGTTATTGGTAGGTGAATCGATGATAACTCTATTAGTATCATATGGTTTTATAAAAGATGTTGATAGACAAATCGATAATGGCTTTGCTAACACTATATGATATATGACATAGTTTGATAAAAGCATTGTTTTATCCAACATTGAGAAAAATGAATTTATATGCATCATGCATACCATGCCTATTTGGTGTTAGCTCATGTTTGTCTTGTGGTGTAGATTTTGATGCAAATGATGGAGATGTTGACGTTGCTCCCGAAGTCTAGTGTGTCATGTGCTTGCATTGGGTGTCCCTGAAGAAACGAAGAATGTGTTATATTTTAATAAATGAGTATGAGTTATTGTATGAATATTTAAGGTTTATGAATGCACTTTTGAATATCGGATGTAAGAATGTTAAACTTATGAATGTTGAAAATTATTGTTTAGTAATTGAGTATGAACAACATGTTGATATTATCTATAAATGTTGAATGATAACGAAGGATGTTTTTAGAATTTGAGGATGAATGGTGGTTATATTATTGATGATACGTTTTGATTAATATGTTTAATGATGAATGAAATTAAATTAAAAAGAAGGTTAAAAGTTGATGAAAAGATATATGTTTAGTAGCGTCTCGTCCGGTCATGACCCTTCGGGCGACAGATGTTAATTACATTTAATGTGATGATATTTCAAATGTTTTCATTGTTGTATCATAAACCAAGAGAAGTTTTTTTATGCAATCCCACAATTACTAGTTCTGCGGATGTTGTTTAATTAGCTGTGTAGATATTCCTAATAATGTGCTGTGAATTTCAGAATGGATATTGCGATTTCCACTCTTATTCACACTATAATGCCGAATTCAGTTACAGTATATTCCCTCTTTTTCAAAGCATAATATATATATATATATATATATATATGTGTGTGTGTGTGTGTGTGTCTCATCAAAATGTTAAGTGATGTATTTTTTTTAAATTCTTCTAATTAAAATCTATTTTTTTGTAAAAGATTGTCCAAATACAAATTTTAAAAAATAGTATTTTAAAAAAAATAAACAAGAGATTCTAATATGACATAACTATTAATAATATTTTTAAAAAAATTTATGTGAAAAGTTCAAATAAACAACCCTTTCGAGACAGTGATAATTTATAATTTCTACCTATTTTACTATGATGACATTACTTAAACACGTCTTATCAGAATATTTTTATTTTTGCTTCTCCCTCTGACTCTTAGTTGTCAATTAATTTTCACACAGAGGCTGGATCTCAAAAAGTAGCAGAACAGTAGATATATCTGTCATCTGACCGCATTTTGCAGAGTTAATTCAACAGCTTGAAGATTACTACAACTCTTGTTGTATTTCTCGTATATCCAGAGTCCTGTGCTACATTTGAGAACAAGCTTGAACAGTATTGCTCTAGTAAAGTACGTAGCAAACTCCACTCCTTTTGAGTTTGGCTACGAATCTGACTATTGTAAAGATGGACAAAAGGTATTAAGTTCAATATGCTCTGTGTATTATTGATGGGAAAGTATATACAGGTATTTAAAACTCATTTTGTTGAAGCTCTTAATGTAAGGAAATTGGATTGAAAATATTTCCAATATGCTTCATGCCTTGTCCATAGTATAGAAAATTAACGAAGAAATAATTATTTTAAAATATATGATGGGAAAGCCAATATGAATAAGTCATTTAGTGTTCTCGATCGTCGAAATATATAGAGATTCTATGACTTAACTATATAATTTTTTTTAACATATCTTCTATATATATGATTTTTCTGATATCTGTCCTTAACTATTTATAAAAATTTAATTACACTTTAAATTTATTTTATTCCCAATTAATTATAAAAATATAGAAAAATGCAAAGTCATGGATTGTGATTGATTAAATGAATCAAGTAAATTACAAGTTAATAGAGTGTAAATAATATTGCTTGAGGAGTAGGGATCGAGTAAAAAGTATTATTAAACTGATTGAAGAGTATGAACTGGAAAAATAAATATGGAGTAATTAATTAAATAAAGATTGCTCTGTGTATTATTGATGCCTTTTTGTGCCTCTTTATTTTTGTTTCTCTTTCTCTATTTTCTTTTATATTAGTTCTTTCATGTTAGGTCGGTCGTGTGTTTCTTTTAATACGTGGACTTTTTGTTAAACTGTCATTTACTTTTTTTTTCTTTCTTTTTTTTTTTTTTTTGAATTTGAGTTTTCACAAAATTTCCAAACAAAAATAAAATTTATTGAGTGTAAAAGAATAGAGGGCAACTTTCTAAGACCGGCACGAGTAAATTTCAACAAATTCCAAAAAGAAGTCATATAATCATAATTAAGCCTTTCTATTTCTCATTTTGGTTGAATATGGAACTGCGTCTTACCAATGACAAAGGGAGCAACGCAAGAAAGATAGGACTGTAGGCACAAAGTCTGATGGCATAAATGAAAATATATGGGAAATGCTACAGAATTTCCAAGTATATAAAAACCTATTTTAAGAGTTGAATTTTTTTAAAAATCTTTTTAAACACAAAAATCAATTTGACACATTTACAGTCCCATTTAAAAGCAAGAAAAAAAGTAACAATGATAATAATAATAGCAATAAAGTCCGACTGTACCACCTTGTTTTTTGTTGAGCATAGCATGTTCTTCATTTAATTTTTTTTTCTCCTTGACAAATTAGACTCAGGGAAGGGTATATTAGGTGTATTTTTGACATACAATCTAGTTTATAATAAAAGATTGAATTTAAAGTTAATTATTTCTATCTAAGAGAAACTCTAATATATATATATATATATATATAAAAGAAAATAATTTTTTACGTTTTTATTTTCTTTTTGATAAAGAAAAAGGATTGAAAGTAAAACGAGCAAATTTCACAATTTTTTTTTATATAAAACTAAAATCAAATTCACTCTCACTATATTGTTTTGCATTATATATTTGAGTTGATCTCAAAGAAGGATACCTGTTGATAAATTGCTTCTGAAAATGTTAGCTATGAATATGTAATGTATGAATTTAAGTATTTTAATAATTATCATTGCAAAGGGAAATGTAAAGGAAAATTGAAAGGATCGGATCTGCAATAATTGATCATGTGTGAGCTGCAATATATTAATTTTGCATGAATATTATCAAATCTAAACTATATTGTTGTTTCCTCTTCTGAAAATATATTAGCACCGAGACCATATTAATTACATCAAGGAGCACAGCAATGGTTAGAGAAAAATCTAAAATTTCAATCTCTTCCGGGCAGTCAAAAAGGGCACTGTGTAATTGGGTAATTGCGATAGCGATTTCAAGTCATGATTAGGGCTAAAGGATCCAACCACTTTTAAACTCTAAATCGTTGAGTTTTTGAGTTTTTTTTTAACAGATTATGAGGATTCTTAAATTTTTAATTTTTTTTAGGTTTAGTTCGTCTAATAATTTTTAGCTATATTTTTTTAAAAAAAAATTTATTTTTTGATTTTTTCAGTTGAAATTTTTTACACACGTTGAAAAACATTCCATACATTTTGTCAAAAAATTTCAGAATTTTTCAAAATAAAAAATTATATTTGTTTATTTTTTGAACATTAAAAATATAAAAAATAGAAAAATAGAAAATTACTCTGAAATAATTCCAAATTTTTTGAAGAGTTCCTGTATAAATTTCAGTAAATGATTTTCATTATGAAACTATTTATTTAATAGTTAATTTTTGAAATAAATGAGAGAAAACTAAAGGATGTACTAAATAAAAAAGAAAAATTCAAGAATCCCTAAAACCAATAAAAAAGTTCAAAGGCTCAATTTCAAATGATTTACAATTCAGAAGTTGTTAAACCATTTTAGCTCATGATTATTTAATTTTTTGGTTATGGAAAAATAAGTAAAATTTTTCAATCTATGTAATTTGGCAAAATAAATTAATTTGGTCATGCAAGAAAAAACCGCTTACGTGAAATTAATGGCAGAGGTAGGTGATTTTTCTTGGGAGGCCAAATAGTGTGTTTGGGTGTGTTGCTGTCTGTCGTAACCAAAAAAATTCACCTCCTTTTCTTTTTATTTATATCTATATTTTATTTCATTTTTATCATCTTCATTTTTTTTTTTTGGATTTATTTAGATTTTTAGGTTTAGCATTATTTATCCTTTATTTTGTCAAAAAAACAAAAATAATAATTAAGTTAATTTCTTTTCATTTATTTTACATAAAAAATGAAAATACAAAAAAGATGAAGAAAGAAATTGCAAACATAATTAATTGTTGAAAATTAGGGGTATAATTGAACAGAATAGGAACTAAAATTGAAAGGCATTAGGGGTACAATTGAACCAATCAAAAGAATCAAAACTGAAATCGAGGGACTCGGGGGTATGATGGCCAAATATTGAAAGAAACAGAGACCAAAATAATGCATATAAGGGATCTAATTGAGCAGACATTAACATAAAGGGACCAAAATTGAAGGAAGGAGACAATGACAGGCCTAATTTGAAAGTTAGCCGAACAACCTGTCGTTCACTTCACAGCAAAATACTCCTCCCTTCCTTGTACTGTTTATCGTCTTCACCGACGACAATTTACCCAAAAACGGACGATCCTTGGCTGGCAACCAGCCAAGGATCGTGCTACACCACTTGCAAACCTGCACCCACCTCTGCACCACGCTTGCACTAATTTCTGCACACACACACGCATTTCATTTTGCTCTGCATTTGTTCTGCTCATAAACGACAAAAAAGGGACAGGAGCGTATGTTTTTTATTGTTAGTGGGAAGGGATGGGATTAAATGGGGATGATCAAAGGGTTGAATGAGAAGTAGATTTTGGGTATGAATAGGGGAGCATTGTTTGGTATGAGGGGAAGATTTTTTTTCTTCTGGGTTTTGATAGAAGGAATTTTTCTGGGTTTCACAGTTTAGAGAGTTCACAAAAAGAATTTCTGGGTTCACAGAGGATTTTCTGGGTTTCCGCAGAGAGTATTTCTGGGTTCACAAAGAGGATTTCTGGGTTCGCAAAGAGAGATTTCTGGGTATTTGAAACAGAGGAAACAACGGAGACAATCCCCCTACAGCCATCTATTTGTCCAAACTCAGTTTCATCCTTCATCCACACCAGGTAGATACCCCATCTCTTTCATAACATTTGATTCCAGTTATCTGGGTTTTGTTTCTGGATTCTTAAAGAACAAACGATGATAGTGATCATCCTGCAATATCTATTAGTCTATTAGTCTAATTACATAATCCACCTCCTGGCCTTGGTTTGTTGTCAATGAAGAATGAAGGCGAAAGGTGAGAATTCCAGTGCTATGAGTTTAGGTTTCAATCCGTTTTGGTAGGGAAATTTTTGATACTGATATATTGGGATGATGTGTTTGGAATAGAAGGAGGAGGAAAGGAAGAAGACAGGAACAGAGTTACTCGGGCCAGGGAAAGAAATGGTTTGGGCTGGGGTTTGTTAGTTTTAGAACAGGCTTAGGTTGGTCTGGGCTTTTTTAGGCTTAGTCTGGGCTAGGCGATGGACTGCTGAGGTGTTGGTTAGACTTAGGCTGGGCTAGAACATGGACTCGGGTTTGTGAGGTTGGGTTTGCTAGGTTTCAGAAGGCTTGGACCCGCATTTGAGCTGGTCCAGAAAAGAATATGACCCTAATGGGCTCTCGGCCCAATGACTTTCAAAATTTTAGGATTTATTTAACTAGCTTCCCTTGCTTAATTTAATCTAATTTTTTTATGCGTGTTGCATGTAGTTATTTTTAGCATAAGTTTTGATTATTTTAGAATTTTTGAAGTTCATTTACCCTTTTATTTTGAGTTTATTTAATTTTATTTCCAATTGTTAATTGCTATAATTATTTAAATTTCAATTTAGCCCATCATTCAATGTTATTTAAATTTGATTTTTTAGTGGAAGATTGTATGTTTGTAAATAATTAGAAATATTTTCGAAAATCTCTTAATACAACGTCGAATAGTGACAATCTCAATTAACATTACTAGTAGTTTGAATACTTTTTGAGCTTGTACGAATTTTCTTACTTTAACTATTTTTTATTTTGGAAATATACCTATGTGTACTTGAACGCTTGTGCGTTGCAATAAATATTTTACATTGTATCAATTATACACACACACACACTCTACTTTAAAAGATGTATTTAAAAAAAATTACTGCATCATTTTTTTCAGGAAATCAGATGTCTGGAATTTAAATTATAATAATTTTTGTAAATGTAACTTATGAATCGTTTAAAATATATAGGTAGTCAAAACTCATTTTATTGAAGTGCGAGGCATCAGAAAAATGAGGAAAAAGAAAAGTTAGGGAGGAAAGAAAGAAAATGAATGGGAGAGGAGGAGAAAATATGAAACACTCCAAGCAGAGGGAAAGAAAAGGGCCGTGAAAGCCGTAGCGCAGTGAAACCAAGACCATATGAATTAGTTATTTTACTTGAGATTTGAAAAGAATAATGAGTAAAAACAGTTTTTATTTTTATTTTTTTTAATGATTAAAGATGAGTACTATTCAGTTTAAATAAAAAAAAATTAAATTTAAATATCAATTTCGATTCGGTTTTTAACTCAAATTAAAAAAAAAATTGAAATGAATTAGTTTTACTTTCGGTTTGATTTAGTTCTTGAAATTTTATATTTGCTTTAAACCGAAAACTAATTTATTTTATTTTTTTTTAAAGTTTTAAAATAATATAAATAAATAAGTAAATCAATACCTTAACGTTATTATAGATATATGATGGATCAATTGCATTTTTGGTTTATTTACATTATTATAAAAAAATAATTTCTTAAAAAACTGATTCAAACAAAAACAAAAAGCTAAAATTTTAGCTGTTAAAGTGAAAAACGGAATACTAAGTTGGTTTGAAATCGGTTTTGTTTTTTTAATTTCGGTTAATTGAAATCTGAATGATCAATAATAATTAATATCATTAATGTTGTTGGGAGGAGATTTTCATATAAATTATTGATAGAATAAAAGAAAATGTTTTCGACATTTCAATGATAAGATCAAATTTGTAAAATAAATTTATAGTTTATACTATAGTAACAAAAAATCTGAGATTAATAAACAAGGAAAAGAAAACATAATTAAATATAATTGGATATTAAACGAGGGAAATCAAAGAGCACTTACGGTAAAAATAGTTTATTCTATAGTAACAAAAATAAACAAGGAAAAGAAAACATATTAAAATATAATTGGATATTAAACGAGGGAAATCAAAGAGCACTTACGGTAAAAAAGAAGAAGAAGAAAATTTTAAAAAAGAAACTATTTCTATTAAATCAGAGATAATTTGTTATTGAAAAATATCGATAACAATATAGAACCTGCAATTAATTCACGGAATTTATAAAGATTTATGAATACATGAGCTTATAGATCGTCAAAGAACTATATTTTCCTTATGTAATCGAGAAACCAAACGTCCGAGACTTTTGTTCGTTAAAAAAAATGGATCATTTAGTATGAACACTGTTTTGTTATGAAATTTTTATTTTATAAACAGTAAAACTAACACAACTTTAAAAAATCACTTTGTTCGATCCAAAAAATTTGGAAACTGGGCATCTGTTTTTACATTTTCTAAAAAAAATAAAAATTCTCCTTTTGTTTTCCAATTTTTGAAAAAAAAAAACGAAAAATATTAATAATAAACGATCCTTAATCGTGGAGGAGGGGGGCAGTGTACTGCAAGTGTCAACTCGACCATGTGATCAGAGCAGAAAAATAAGCAAGATTTGCTCTTCAACCCATTTTTTTTTATCAAAATAATTAGGCCTTGAACCATATAACATGTAAAAATTAGATCCTATAGATGTGAAATTCACAGAATTTTGACTTTATTATAAATCAAACAACTTATTAGAAATTTTATCATTAAAGCAAAGTACTTTGAGAGAGAGGCTAGTGGACAACTTTTTTCAAAGAGTAGTGGACAACTTTGGAAGACAGGCACTAGTAAATTTCTTCGAATTTAGAAGTCAAAGTCATTTAATCCTAATTCCCGAATCATTTACAATCTCATTTGAAAAAAAAAGAAGAAAGATCACAATAACAAAAGGAAAGTTAAACTCAATCTTTAAAACATTTGCATAACTCGTAAATATTATAGGTCGATTAAAATTAATATCTTTATTTTTTTAAAAAATTGAATTTAAGTTTTTATTTTGATAAAAAAGAGTATAAAAGTTACCATGTGAGTTGATCTCAAAGAAAAAGAACAGCAGATAGATTCTTTTTCAAAATAAGGATCAAATTTAAATTTAATCAGTATCCAGAACTTGGAAGAAGCCGATCTACATTAATAGTGGACTCATTCTACGTGTTGAGTACAACATATTTCTGACTCCAAATTCTACGATACTTTTAAAGAAGTTTAATATAGGAAATACGTTTTCCATTAATATTAGAATATTTTTCTTTTACTGCCACCTTATATATATATATAGTTAGCATATTCATAGAATCATTAGTCCTAACATTTAAGAATGTAATCTGTATATATATTTCCTCTTCTTTTGTAAAGAATAAGATGGTGAAATAATTCATGTTTTTATGGTGTCAGAGCAAGGTTTGTGATTTTTTCTTTACTTTTCTCATGGCAATTGGTTTAACAAGTCGCAATGCAGAGGGTTTTGTGTCTGTTGCAAATATGCAAATTATTGCTATTAATATTAAATCCTCGTTCTTCTTGCATCTAACGGATCACCCAAATTTACTTTTTGTCAGACAACCTCTCAGTGAAAATGGGAAAAACCATTTCACCTGCTGAAGTAATTTTCTCAACATCCTACAATCCAAAAATAAACAAGAATTTGTGGATGGATCAATACCCAAACCCAAATTTAATTGTTGACGATTTTTTAATGGGCGTAGATGACGCTTACAGAACTTAAAAAAGTTTATGCCGTGGAAGCTCAAGATGAGGAACAAAGATATATTGCTGCATCCCGTGCTCCCATTCTTAAGGCCATGACCTTACTAGCTAAATCACAGACAGCTTATGGATAAAGGATTAGACTAGGTATTTTTATCAATTTAATTTATCCGTTAAGAGATGATCCGTGTATCATCCAAAATATCAAATTATAATTTTTTTTTCAATCAAATACATGAAATTAAATTTTATTTATTTAATATATTGAATTTTTTTTAAAAAAATTATCTATCAAATACCTTCATCAAATTATTCAAAAAACCATTTTAGACCAAAGCAGGAATTCACAAATTTCCGAAACCACCGTAAAAGGACCCCCAAAGTCCAAAACAGAGACTTCCTGCCTTTCCAACGTTCGCATGTAGAACTGTTTGTTTTTCAAGGTCCGTGCCTTTGATTTTAGAGTCTCTGCTTTGAAACTTCAAAGCCGTGGCTTTTTGTCAATATTTCAATTTTTATTTCTTTTTCCCATTCTCTTGGCAAGTATATATAAATATACATCTGCTCCTCAATTATCATAATCATAAGAGATAGCTAATCCTCTTCATCTCCAAGCCCACCCATCTTGCTAACTAGCTACCTATCACACATGCCTATACATTTTATTCCCTAGAACTCCAACTTTTCTTTCTTGCCAGAAATGGGATCTCAAAGAAATAATATTCAATACTGGGCAATAATAATACTCTTTGTTGCAATTATTTTTGTCTCATTTTCAAACAAAACTTTGGCAGCGAGGCCATTAGATCAAGAAGCTGATCAATGGTTAGCGAAAAATCTTATATTTCAATCTCTTCCAAGGGGTCCAGCAGTACCAGCTGAGGGAGGTCCATGCTCACAACATCGTCCTGGCAGAGGGTGCATAGGTGAAATCAGTGGCAACGGTAGGTGATTTTTCTTTGGGAGGCTAAACAGTATGCTTCTGTAAACAAATTTCCTCTGCAAAAGTTTCAAGTCTTCTAGTGATGAATAAGAAATCCAGTTTCTATGTGCTTCGCGCACAGGAGAATTTTCTTTTACCTTTACTTTTTTTTTTTTTTTGGGGGGGGGGGGGGGGGGGTGTTCCTATCATGTGTGAGCTGCAATAATGTTAATTTTATATGAATATTATCAAATCTAAAATTTGTTTTGAGCATGTAATCAGTGGCTTCACCATTTCCTTTCAGGTGATGGGAGATCCCGAATTCAGATTCTAGCAATTTCTGCAAATATCAATGAATAGCTTAAAACACCAAATTAAATATCACCTCTTCTTCAACCATCTGCATTTAGCCAATTAATTTTTGAGACAAAATAAATAGTTCATCATGGAATATTCGTAATTGAAGAGTTTAATTCAAAAGGTTTCTTTTGGGGGAAAATTTGTAAAAAGGTGCCTTGTGCTTTGTCCATTGCACTTACAGTTATTGAGTTTCAAACTTTGGCATTTCAATGCGTCGGAATATGTGGGGCCCGGCATTGTGATTGCGGCATATAGAAAATACAGAAGATGCCAAAATGTGTGCATATATTTGATATTGAAAGTAAGCGAAACAGCCATCCATAGACGATTTCTTAAAACTTCCAACCTTACGGATTCATCGAAATTTCCATCACAATCAGGAGGTTCTGTCTATCTCATCTCCTGAACTTCTTGATGAGGTTCGGATCCTTGGAATAATATAGTTAATAAGGTGGCTTTTCTTATGGCTGAAAAGACTCTGACTATTATTGATGGATGATGATCCAATATCCGAGAATATCTACAGAACAAGTTTTGATCGAAAGATCCCCATATGACCAAGTTAGTGTACCGAGAGAAATGACAAGCTTGAGTAGGCTCTGATGTGGTTAGTGTATAACAGATGATGAGTAATAATTGCGGCTCACACACAAATACATCCATGTAGAAGTGAATGCATGCACTTGTTGAAAGTTGAAAGGACGGTTCATGCATTTGTTGACAAAAGTCTGTAATCTCATTTGTATCTCATTTGCATATATAGAGAGAATCTATGCATGGTCAAGGTAGACAAATAAGAAGGAAAACACGAGTGTATGGAAAAACTAGAAAACTTTTAAGTGTGAGCCTCTTAATTTGTGAGCTTCAACCATCGGATAATGGTTTTAAGCTCGATTAAGATAAAAGTGATAATTTTAAACTTGATTGAGATAAAAAAAATTACTTCCTCGGTCCCAAAATGTTAGTTCTTTTTTATTTTTTCACGCTATTTAAGAGAAATATTAATTATAATTTTCTTATTTTTGTTTTCCTAAAATATCCTTCCCTACAATCATTGACTTTTTAATTAATAAAAAATAAAAAAATGATTAGCGGTACTTAAGAAAAATATAATATTTAAAATTTTGATTAAATAATTATTTTAAGACAAATATAAATAAAAGATAGACAATCTTTTGTCTGTGGATTACTTAGTATCTTTCATCAATACTTTCCATGAGCCTACTTTATCATATTCATTCTTTTCTCTACCTGTCTTTCATGATAATCATTAATTAGCTTCCTTTGACAAAAACTTTAATCTGTAGCTCAAACTTCATTACACCGTGTTTCTTTGAATTATTTGTAGTTTTTTTTTACCTATTAGCCTCAAACCTCAAAAAACATTTTCTAGTGATTAAAAACTTTATCTTTCTTTATTGAACGAGATTCTAAGATATGATTTATATTATTCTCTAATATATTTTCTTAAGTAAAAACTTTTTGAGCTTAAAATTTTCATAGACCTACTACTGCATAGGTCCACTACCTTAAGTTAAAGTCCTTTTAACTTAAAACTTACATAGATCATTTGTGTTTAATTATTTAATTTTAATTAGAAGAAAAAATAAAAATGATGAAATTCTAACTTCTTAAAAATAGCATTAGTCCATAAATTCTAAAGTAAGGAGTTGGTTATGCTTTTGGAAAGATATCGATTATTCAAAAACACTCTTTTTGAGGAAAGGTGCCACATATAGTTTATTTTTAACATTTATTTCTAGGCCAAATTAAGTTTTTTTAGTTTTAGTTATGACATCATATGAAACCAATCATCGGACTCCTTCGTCGTCCGATACATCGGTTCAACTATCGGATCCATTTTAAGTTTCGACATAACTAATGTGTCGAATGTCGAAGAACTACCTAATTACTAAGGTGATTTTTTATCTAACATCGGCTCCTATCAAATGTGAGACTTCGTTAATTTTTCTTGACATTTTTTTTAATTTTCTTAATATTTATCAAAATATCATATCTAAAGATCATTAAAAGAAAAAATAGAAATGATGAAATTCAAACTCACGAGGTTTGGTTATTAAGATATCATATAAAATTATCATTTTAATCTAAAAACTTATACTTGTTAGGTGTGACTTTAAGATGCTATTTATATTATTCTTTGATACATCTCATCTATTTTCTGGAGTCCTAATTTATGAAGTATAGGAACCTGTGAATTCATAAACTCAAAAATAGCAGCAAGTTTGCTCTTAGTATGCAACAATAAGCCCCTAATGTCTGAAAATATCAACACCTTACACATTATTGTTTATCAATGACATAAAGCGATCAAGATCCTGGCATCATACAGTCCGCAATGAGCCATTCGCTAATTGATTTCTACAATTGCTCACTTGTAGAGAAAACACCAAGGACTGCTTCAAAAATTGAAAGCACAACAAAACTACTCAAGCATGCTCTTAAACTGATTAAACACACTAGTATAAATGCAACATTTCCTGATGAAAAAAGAATGGCATTTGTGATGCCATTCTACTTCCGCAAACATTCAGATATGGGCACCGAAACTCCTCTTGAACTGAAACTTTCATTTGCCACTCGAATTACCTGGAGGCATCTGTAGTACATAAGAAATTGTAAACATTCAGATATGGCCTATGGGCACCAACGGATCAGAATATTGACATTACGATAGTTCTCAATTTTCCTGTAAGACAATGGTTTCATGCTGTCCATGCCTCCAAGTTCCCAGGAAACTTCCCCTGATTCGACACAATTCAGCTGCAACATCGCTAATGTCCATCCGCTCTCTTGGCAAGTCTACAGAACAAGCAACTCCTAGTGTGGCAATTGAAGTCAAACACTCCAGAATTTTGTCATCTCTAATATGGTTCATCTCCTGAGAAGCATCAGCACCTGTTTCCTCAACTTCTCTAAGAAGTATCGGGTCCACAACTTCCACCACACAGGTGGGCAACGACATTCTAGCGTAACTGTGAAGGTTCAGCTCATCTTTAAACATTTCATCTGTAGGTCTCTTTCCTGTAATCATCTCTAACGACAGAATGCCATAGCTGTACATATCCCCATAAGTTGACACCTCACTTCCCATACCATACTCTGCAGTTTGTTTGCATGGAAATCAGAGTTGTTTAGGACCTTTGAGATTAGAGGCAAATGACAACAGAATTGATCTTTAAAAATCTAAATTTAATCAATGAACAAATAAGCATAAAAGCAGAGAAAATGAAGCTTTAAATGTAAATCAAAAGGTGTTAGGATGGAATTATAAACTAAACTAAAACCTAGAGCCAAGACTGTAAACAATGAAACGTCCTTCTAGTGTTACCTGGGGCAGCATATCCGACGGAGCCTCTTATTCCAACGCTTGTCTGACCTGAAGATAACTGACTGGAGGCCTCAGAAAGGATCTTTACTAATCCAAAGTCGCCAACACAAGCAGTCATATCACCACCCAGAAGAACATTGCTAGGCTTTAGATCACAATGAACAATAGGCATTTCACAATTGTTGTGCAAATATTCGAGTGCACTAGCCACATCAATAGCAATGTTCAACCTTTGATTGAGATTCAGATTACTTGTTTTGTGTGCTTCCTTTGATGTATGAACTGGATGCAACCATTCATCTAGATTCCCATTGACCATGAACTCATAAACAAGAGCCTTGAAATCATTACCTTGAAAATCCATGCTAGAACATACAGTCAAAGCTTTCGCAAGGTTTCGGTGTCTGATGTTTATCAAGGCTGAACATTCTGCCACAAAGGTTTTTGAAGCACCTTTATGTAGCAGGTTGAATACTTTCACCGCAACAACAGCTTCATCTGATGCGAGAATTCCTTTGTACACAGACCCAAAACTACCAGCACCAATTAAATTGGCAGGAGAAAATCCATCAGTTGCTTGAAGGAGGTCTTCATAAGTAACCCTTCGGAGTGAGGTCTCCCATGAATTCCCTGAAGCAAGGTTATTTTCTGTTTTTCTCAAGCAACAAAAAAACAGTGAAGAGGTCATCAAGATTACTCCAAGAAAGATGAAAGCAATGGTGACTATCAATATCAGCTTGGTAGAAGATTTTGGCTTTGCTGACTTACTGGAAATGCACTTGGACAGATTCAGCTGAGGTATTCCTCCACAAAGTTTGTTCCCGAAAATTGAAACTGCACTTGAATTCTCAAAGGTACCATGCATAGGCACCTCGCCTTCAAGCTCATTGAATGATAGATCCAAACTCTGCAACCTAAAGTCTGCCAAAAACTTCGGAATTCGGCCCGTCAAGTTGTTGTGAGAGAGATCAAGTTCTTGAAGTGCTCTCAAGGAACTCAGGGACTCAGAAATTGGGCCTTGGAAGAAGTTCCCATCCAAGTACAAATATTCCAGACTCACACAACTGCCAAGACTTCTGGGAATTCCCCCTGATATCCTGTTTCTAGAGATGTCCAGTTCTCCGAGGTTCACCAGCTTACTCACTTCTGATGGCAGGGAACCAGACAACTGATTTTCAAAGAGGACCAGAAAGGATGATAAGGATGAAATACCAAGCACCTCTTTTGGTATCGGACCACTCAGATTGTTCTGATTGAGAGCCAGGGCCAACAAATTCTGGCAATTTCCAAGACTTGGTGGGATGCTTCCTTGTAAATTATTATGTCCTAGATCAATTTCAATCAATGAGGTGATGTTCCCTAAAGAAGATGGTATGCTTCCAGATTCTGTTTCCATTAAGATACAAAACACCTAAATTTTGTAATTTACCAATATTACTGGGTATAATTCCAGTCAATTGATTTCCCTCCAAAGCCAAAGTATCCAAGCTTATGAGATTTCCAATCTCAGTTGGAATGCTTCCACTTGTTTGATTTCTTCCAAATATCATCTTCTTGAGCCTTGTAGAGAAGTTGCTAACTATTTCAGGCAGTACTCCTCCTAGATTGTTGTCATTTATAGCCAAATCTTCCAAATTAGTGCTGTTTGCGAGGGGATAGAGAAAGTTCAGATCATCATCCTCTCCATCTCCAAAATCATTAGCTTGCAATGAAAGCCACTGTAGATTAGGCATGGTTGCTAAAGTGGGCACTTTCCCAGTGAAATTGTTGAATGAAAGATGAACACGAGTAATTTTCGAGGCATTTGACAGCGTTGCTGGAATTAGTCCACTGAACTGATTGGTGTGAATTCGAAGGATTTCCAGATTTGGAAGGCTCAGGCCCAGGTCAGGAGGAAGCTGCCCTTGAAATTGGTTCTCAGACACAGAGAAATGAACAAGAGAAGTTATATTGTACATGGAGGGAGGGATTGTACCACTCAGATTATTTACACCGAAAGAAAATAATTTTAACGTTTTCAGTTTCCCAATACTATCTGGAATGCTTCCGTGCAAATGATTCACTGCCCCATTAAGTTCCACAATAGATGAAAGATTTCCAAAAGAGGAAGGTATCTCACCTCCTAAATTGTTCATTCTGAAAACAAACACCTGCAGCTTCGATAAGAATCCAAGTTCTGCAGGAAGTTTGCCCGTAAGATTGTTTCCCTCCAAACGAAGGTCCACAAGGTTCGAGCATAGAGAGATACTGGCGGGGATTTCACCAGTGAAAGAATTTGTTCCCAAGAACCAATGTTTGTAGGCGAGACAAACGACCTAATTCTTGAGGAATCTCATGGCTGAAGCTGTTGTTTTCCAGTTTTAGCACCCTAAGGAAACTCTAAGTTCCCAATGTAGGAAGATACACTGCCCACCAGTCGGCTGGAGTGTAGGTCAAGCTCTACGACTCTTTGTTGCCGCCTTCCACATGCAACTCCTAACCACTCACAGAAGTGCAAGGATTCATTCCACGAGCTCAGCGTGCCAAGGGGATCAGCTATTTGAGCCTTGAAAGCTAGTAGGGAGAGTCTATCAGTCTCCTTTCCTTCTCTAGGTAATGAGAAGGAAACGGAGAGCTGAATTATTAGCAAGAAAAGCAGAGACAGCATCCATGGCATCTCCATTTTTGTGTGATCTTAGAGCTTAACTTGTGCGTGGAGGGCTATTGATTCAAATATTTAGCTAGGAAATAGGAAATTGATAGTTGGACTTCGAAAATGAACGCAGACAAATTATAGTGAATGGAAAGCTAATGTCAAGTTCTGCGGGCACCAGAAAATGTAAACTTGAAAAGGAATGGCCATGGAAGTTGTTTCTTAAAATCTATACTTTGAATTCAAATGCTATTCGCTGCACACCAAGTAAAAGGTATTCCAAATGGTGCACTTGAAATCAAAACAAAACACAAACCGCCCAAAGTTGCATACAAAGTCCACAGGATTCTAAGTTTTGACCAAGATTGTCGGCGGAGATTTTTCTTTTTTTGTCAGATTCGTTAATACAAGATAGCCATTTGATGGGTCCCTCTTTATCATTTTTTATACTAGGCACATTGCATGTATTAAAATGAAACTGCATAATAGCCCATCAAATGGGAGAAAAATATTCTGTATTGGCCTAGTTTAGCCCAATTAAGGAGGAAATTCGGAACTTGTAAACATTAATTGATGTTCATGTGACTTTTGAAATATTGAAATTGTTGTATTGATTTTATCAAATTAGGTAATATTATCCAAGTTGATGTAGCTTTTTTAGTGTTCTATTGAAAATGAATTACAAACATATTATTTCATTTATGTGTACTAAAAGTTTATATATATATATGTTAGAAAAATATATTTGGGTTGGGTCGTCAATGACGGATTGAGCCGATAAGAAAATTATTTGAAAAAGAAAAAAGGACAAACAACTATTTTGTCGTTGTTGTGATGATTATTTTCTTGACTCTTATGAGAGAAAAAAGATAAAATATAGGGATAATAGAATAAGATAATATGAAAAATAACAAAGAAAATCTCTATAGAAATCTCTCTGCAAAGTCTAAGCAAAATAAAAAAAACAAAAGGAATGTTGTTGTAACACTTGGATCGTAGAATTCAGATAATGATTTAATATTATTTTTTTAATCTAGTAAAACTAATCTTCATCCTGTGTTTACATCTAGTGAAATTTTAGATAGGAACATAATTTTTTAAAAAAATTAATCTTTTGTGTATATATATATATATATATATATATATATAAGTCTTGTTTATTTGTATAGCATTGCTATTTAACCGAATTCCAACATTGAAAGTCATGGATGAAATTAGAGGATGCTTGCATCGGCGTGTACTGGTATTTTAACGGTTTGTACTTGAAAGAGAGACAACTTGTTTTTTGGTCTTCTTTGAAAGAGTAGTGGACAACTTTGGAAAACCTGCGTAAGTAACTTTCTTCGAATTTAGAAGTCTAAAGTCACTAAATCCTAATCATTTACAATCTCAGTGCAGTTGAATTACAGGTTGGTGGACAGCACTTTTTGCTTTTTTGGATTCTTTTAAAGAGTAGTGGAGAACTTTGAGTAAACTATAAATTAGACCATCTCGTTTTGAGAAATGAATTAATTAAACCTTTTAAAAAATAATTATTTCATCTTTATGTTTTGAAATTTATTTATAATTTAGTTCTTTTTACTCTTTTGATTTTTATTTTAGGAAGTGAAAAAAAATATGAAAAAAGTATGGCAAAATAAGAAATTTTGTTAAATAAAAATAATATTAAAATAAGCACAATCAACATTGATTACAGGATTAACTAATAATTTTAGAAATAAAAAAACTAATTAATTTATTTTTTAAAACTAAAAAGACTAATTTATAATTTACTCGGATAACTTTGGAAGATCAGCGTAAGTAAATTTTTTGAAGTTTTCAAAAATCGAAATCATTTAATCCTAATTCTTGGATTATTTACAATTGCATTTGAAATTAAGAAAAAAACGATTGTATTAACAAGAAAGAATCTAAACTCAATCATTTTCTTTTTCCTTAAAACATGTGAATAATAAGTAGATATTGTTACTCAACTACAATCAGTATTTTTATTTTAAAAAAATCTCGAATTTAAGTTTTTATTTCATCAAAAAGGTTTATTTTGTTCAAAAAAGAGTGAAAAAATTAACATCAGGGTTGATCTCGAAGAAGAAGAAGATTCGGTGGATATATTGGTTTTCAAAATGTTTACCACATATAATATTTGAATTTAAGGACCAAATTTAAATTTAATCAGTATGATTACCATTATAAAGGTGACGTGATAGAAGCCGATCCCGATTAGCAGTGGACTCCTCCTGCGTGCTGAACAGAAAATTTTCCCGACCCCAAATTCTACAATGCTTTTGAAATTTTGAAATGGATTTATAATTTTCAAGAAAATTATGGTATATTTCAAAACAGTTAATGGAATACCATAATATTGTAAAAGAGATCATAATTTTCGGATCATTTACAATCTCATTTGAAAGCAAGAGAAAAAAGTGATCATAAGAACGAAAATAAAGTTAAACTCAATCACTTTCTTTTCTTCAAAACATGGGCATAACTCGTAAATATTGTAATTTGGTTAAAACCAGTATCTTTATTTAAAAAATATATATATTGAATTCAAAATTTTATTTTTTATTTAAAAAAAAAGAGTGAAAAAGGTTAACATCTTAGTTTATTTAAAAAGGATCAATAATAGACTTTGTTTTTTTTTTTAAATGTCAATCATTTATAATGTTTGGATTTAAAGACCTAATTTAATCGTATCATTGTCGTTGTAAAAGTAACTTGAAAAGAGCCGATCGTCGTTAGTGGTGGAATTCGAACGGAAAATGAATAACTCATTAATTTAGTGTTAATGTAGAAATATATCCATCTTCTATAATTTAACTAATATAATTTGTTTTGACACTCGTCGAAATTAATATAAATTATATTATGGGGTCTCACCTATCGGTTTAAGCTTTTAGGTGAGATGATCCTTTAATATGATATCTTTATTTTAAAAAAAATATTGAATTCAAAATTTGATTTTTTTTTTTTTTAAAAAAGAGTGAAAAAGGTTAACATCCGAGTTTATTTAAAAAGAATCAATAATAGACTTTTTTTTAAAAAAAATGTCAATCATTTATAATATTTAAATTTAAAGACCCAATTTAATCTATATCGTTGTTGTTGTAAAGTAACTTGAAAAGAGTCGATCGTCGTTAGTAGTGGAATTCGAACAAAAAAGGGATAACTCATTAATTTAGTGTTATATAGAAATATATCCCGATTACGTAACTCAACTAATATAATTTGTTTTGACAACTGTTAAAGACTAATATAAATTATAAAAATTATTTATAAATAAATAAATTTATTGTTTTTTGAATTACGCTTTTCATATTTAAAAATTGAATGATTTCACATAAAGTTTGATTAATTATAATTAATAAAGCATACTGTAATATGTTGAAATTAAGATATTGAAAAGCTATGCATAGTTTCGGTAGTAATATATATATATATATATATATATATATATATAACTTTTAATCTACTGAACTATTTTTTAGATGATGTCATTTCAAGCCTCATACTTATAAAAAGTAATTATAATTCGTTATTTGTGAATAGTATGAATTAAATATTAATTTTAGCTAAATTAATACAATTCTTTTACTGCAAATCCAGATTATTTAATGGTAATTGAACTATAACTTATTTTTAGAAACTTGGCAAGTTGCCTATATGAGAAGAGAGTTGACTTATTGTTGATTTATTTGCTTTGAATATTGCTATCCTACAGTTTTTGGAAGAAAAAAAAAGAGAGAGAGAGAGAGAGAGAGCTCTCTAATTTAAGTTGAGATTAAAAGCTGCGTTGTCTGTTAGGTGAAGGAAAACAAAATAAAGCAAGCTACGAGAGACCAACTTAATTTTTTATTAATTAACCTCGGCCAAACAAGCAGTATCTGAGGCTGCCATGTACAAACAAAAAGAAAAAAGAAAAAAGAGTCCCAAGAAGTTTATAATTACACAAGTGGCATTGTAAACTGGTACTTTATTTTTCTTGGGCTTATTTAATGCCAGTCTGATTCCCCCCATTCGGCTTACCCTCCATTCCCTCTTCAGTTGGGCTCATTTTTGGCCTCCAGTTTCGGAATTAGGCACGTTACCTGTACAGCGTAGCGAAATGAAACTGGATAATTGTCCATCAAATGGGAAAAAATTATTGTGTACAGATAATGTTGTGGGTTTTTTTTTTTTTTTCCTGACATGGTTGAGAACCAAAATCCTGTGATAGCAATGGTTGGGGTGAACTGGTGACTGTAGGTTATAAAAGATTGTAGTGCTGATGGCTGCAGTGATAAGATGCCTTCATCAAAACAAAAACACAAACCCATAAAAAGATCTTAACTTTTTTGAAAGAAGAAATTAATGCACCTGCATTCCGTTTTTTACATTTATACACAGGAGATAAAGAACTTGTCGTTACTCTTTAAGAAACTTCTTGATCTGTATTTAGCATGCCGTTAGCGCCTAGCTTTGGTAGAGACTAGAAGGGATAAGATGCGCTGTACAAAGATGGTGAAGGGACCTAACTGAAGTTACTGTCTGAATCTATTCCCAACCCATCAATACTTTTCTCACACCCTCCTCAATCTTGTTCCTGGACACGGGTAAAGCATCCCCTTCATCAAGTAGTATTCGGTATACTTCCCATTCCCGATCGTGTATCATGTGTCTTCCTATCTCTACCTGAGAAATAAAAGATGGAACGAAATGTGAGATAATCTTGAAAAGAAATCATGTATGCAACCCAAAAAAGGAATAAAAACAGTACCGAGAAGATGTGGATGTTTAGAGTCTTGAGAGCCAGTGTAATGTCATGGAAGACAAGTGGCCGGCCACTGCCAGACAACTCAACAGGGTTAGCAACAAGCAGCTCGGTATCAGGGCCTCGACTAACCACAGCCAGTCTAAGAGGACGCAGGAGCTCCATTCTCAGACGAGAACACAAAGCATTCTGTTTGTTAGGGTCAACTATCTTCTTGCCATCTGCTTGCATTAAGAACAAGTCTACCTCACAGTTTCCTTTTCGGTTTGCAAAGAAGCGTCCGTAAGAAATCTGAGATCAATTCATGTTTCATAAGTAAATATTATTGGTAACCAATGAAGAATCACTCAGGAAGAGAAGCCATAGGGAACTTTATTGCTCAATGAAACCCAGAACCTTTTTCTAAAAGTTCTGCACCCAGGTCCCATGAACAAAACCAGGATGATTTTTTAGTTTAAATAAAGGAACCAATCATCAATCCCTGAGAGTATAGGGCCATTTCTGCAACATCTAATTATGGGTTTCCTTCATCAATATTTTCCCAACTCAGGCCTACTGGTTATTCCCCAAGAAAGGTCAAAGATCCCAAGACTGCCTAGGTATAAATGGTTCATGGTTCGAATAACTTACCTGGATATTATAATCCTTTAGGGTTCTCATTATATCGTAAATGAGACCCTTGTGATCCTTGCAGAGAATTTGAATGAGTGTGTGCGAGGGGCTCAGGGTGTTGTCCACTGTAACAGAGACAGGATTGGGAGCAAGAAAGCCATTTCGCTGTTTGTTGGGAAGCTCCAAAATAAACATGTCCTCTGTGATAGCAGGAGGAAGAAATGATGAACCTTGAGAACATGCAGTAACTTCTGCCGCAGCTAATTCAATCTCACAACTAACCAAGGCCTTCCCTAATACATTCTTCAGATAATGAATTGTTTCCTCCTGTCTCATTTTTGTGTGAAGAAGTTCCCTAATAACAAATAGTCGAATTCCATTGATTAGCAAGAGAAAAGAAAGACAACCATCAGACTCGCATATAGACAAATCCACTCTTCATAGGTGCACATCCGTAGCATTTTTGCTGCTAGCTAAAACATTTACTGGACTTTAAGAAGTTATAACAGTAATACAGAAAAAATGAAAATGACGGTAAAACAGAGAATAAGGTTCTTTGTTCCCGACAATAGCTTGCATAAAGGATTATTTAGACATGACCTGATCCTGTTACTATACGTAGAAAAGTCAGAGAGCACAATAACTGGAGTTATCCAGCAAATTGATTTAAAATGTTTTAACTCTTAAAATGTGGTTTTCAAATTGCAATTAACAATGTTTTTCCTTACGTAAAGCAGCCATAAGAACATTTATTAAAACTATCAAAAGCAGAAACAGAAAAAAGAGAGACAGAAATATATAACCATATTTGAGCTGAGTTTCAAAAGAATGACCAACCTATTATCAGTGATGAAAAAGAGGTCCATCACTCTCCCATCTGGAGCGGTGAACACCTTCACTCTTTTTATTGTTAGCTCCAGCTCACATAAAACCTCAGTTACATCTAAAAAGAAAAATGACAAATTAGCAAACAAAAGTTAAGATATTGTTCTACATGATGTGATCCTATATTAAAACACATGATGAATAAGAATGCTCATTTATAGAAATTAGGGCAAGAGGAATTAACATAATTACAGTACTATGCCACGAGGAGGTAATTTTCCTTTGTTAGGCAAATTATGAGAAAGATCACTACTTTCTTATGTTTCCAGCAGCGAAAAAATGTCTTGGCAAGGGAATTCATAAATCATTCCCTTTCCATCCAATTCAATGTTATCCTATCAAAACAGAGCAATTCCTTTATAAATCTCAATGCTACCTGGTGTCGATCAGACATACATTTCGAGAACTAATATACTCCATTTACCAAGACTCCTCCCAAGTTCCCAAAAGATACCAACAAGTATACATTTTAAGAAATAATGAACATTCATCAAGCAAGACTCCCATGTGGGCAGAACCAGTTTTAAAAGCTGCACAATTATCCAGAAATGAAATTTCGGATTACCATGTAAAAAGCCTTTACGGTCATAAGAGCACCAGAACTTCAACAGAAATACATCCGGCAGCTTTGGTGGTTGGTTCACAGGTTTGTAGTAGTCAATTTCTGAGGTTGAAAAATATGACGGGCACACCTCTAATAGCCTATTCTTCAACAAATTCCACCTTGTGTTAGGCTTCCCCGCCACCCAAAGCACTAAATAGCACCATTTCCCGTCCGTTTGTGCATCTTCAACATACAAAATCAATTCAAAACTAATCAATTACAGATTCAGAGAAATTAAGAAAAAAGTGTACAAATATTAAAACTCGAGGAGAAATGTCATGTTCCATTAACTATCTCAAACAATGATATGAAGTCGGAAAAACAGCAAGGAATAAACAGTTAAATGTATATGTAATTTATCATAAACCTTTTCTATGATATCAAACAAAACATCAACAACCTAAATAACGATAAAAATGAAAAAATGTACACACTTTATCTTTCAACTTGACGGAGATGTAAGATTAACTACCTAATTTTTCGACTGCAAATCCCAGCTGCCTCCTTCAGAGCACAGATAAGGCAAGGTACAAACAAAAATATATTATTTCCCTTTTATTTTGTTCACCTTCAAATATTGGATCAAAATCCAAAATTTATCATTCAGATACAGCAAATTTTCAAAACCACATCATACAGTGATCATTATTTATTTTCTCAAGAATAATCTTAGATCCCAACAGTAAACGGTAAAAGAAATCCCACAAAGAAAAATTCAAAAACAACAGAAAACACACAGTAATCTTTTTGCTACAAATCATAGTCCCCACCTAAAGTAACTCAAAATTAATGATTTCAAAAACATTAAAAAAAAAAAAAAAAAGCTTACCTCCTCTACTAATGCTTAATCCAAAAAGCAAGATAATCCTGCACAAATCACAACCAAGTCCAGTTTTATCAGGACAATTCACAGTAATCTTAGTTAACTCTCCAGGCTTCTCTCCTTGACTTATCACTACAGCATCCTCGTACAATATCCCCATTCTCACTACTTTCTCTCTCTTCTCCCTCTCCCACACACTCCCTTTTCACTGTCTCTCTTTCTTTACCTTTAAGAGAGGGAAAAAATGCAAAATTTAACAAGAAGGGTTGCTTTCGTTTCTGCTTTTGTACAACTTGAAGTTTCCTCCTCCTATTTTGATTTTTGTTTCTAGCTACTGTTTGCCCTTTTTGTTGCTACAATTAGGTGGATATTCAAGATTGGATGGAGCCTGTGCGACCCCAAAAAGGTGAGCAGAAACCAAAGTACTTTCACAACAAAAGAACTGCTAAATGGATCATGACAATGGGTTTGTCTGTCGCTCACTTTTTAAACTCACTTCAAGTGAGTTTGCATTTTCCTGCTAGGGTTTCAATTTCTCGTCCCTTTCTTTTTTTTTTATATTATACGTTGATAAAACGAAATTATAGTTTAAATCTACGTTTTTAGTCCTTGAACTGATCAAATATTATATTTTAGCTCTTATATTTTGAAATGTTTCGATATTAACTTTATAATTTCTTAAAGATTTTATTGTGGCTCTCAAACATTAATGAAAAATTAATTAAATTATTTTTTATTTTTATTATTTAGTATTTTCTCCCAACCCAAATGCATATGATAATATCCAACAAAATTCTTTAAAACTCGAAAAAAAAAGAATTATAATAAATTCACGAAATAAATGGATTTCCTACACTTCATCTTTCTTTTTTTTCTCTCATCAAGTTTTTTCTTGTCTCTAAATTATAAAAACTCTAATTCATGATAATATTTCACACAAGTTTTTTAAAAGAAATAATATAGGTTTGTAAAAAATAGAATTCATAGCAGAAAGTTATAGAGAATTCTAGTAAATTTTTCTTTTTTTTTTATGAATGAAAAAAGTTCATTAATCAAGCAACTTGTACAAAATTTTGAATACATAAGCGATATATTACTGCTGATATAAAAAATAAACAATTATTAAAACTCATTATAAAAATTTGAATATCGACAAAAGATATTGTATTTAGAATCTTTTAAAGTTTTAGTAAGCAATTTAGTATATTTAAACCTTCTTGTACACTCGTGATTATATTTTTTAAAACAATATCATTTTTTCCTTGTGTAATATTATGAATTCTTGTATTTTTAGTTTTTCAAACAAAATAGATATATGAATACCAAACAATTCGCAAGATAATCATATCAAATTTCTAGTTCTGCAAAAATTTTTAGTCTACTCAAATTCGTCATTCCAAGAACCCACTTGCTGGTTAATGTTACGGATGAGTAAAACTTGTTTTCACACAAATTTTATTATAGGACATGCAAAAAAAAAAAAGTAATCTATATTTAGTTTTTCATTCTTAATGCATTTATTATTTTCTTCTTTTTGACTAATTATTACATTAATTTCATCATAAATTATTATATTTTTATAGCATATTATTCTGTTTCTCGAATGGTACCGCATAATACTTAAATAATATATAATATCAAATAATATTTTTATCTTTAACTTCTCAAGAAAAGCGCAAAATAAAGCGAGTTCGCTATTAAATTTTGTTAGCTATAATGACATGATGAGCAAGTTGGAATTTTTTTGGAAACTACGGAGTTCATGTTGAAAATTTAATTCCATAGGAGTCGGAGTGGAAAATTTATAAATATCATGGACTAAAATAGAGTTTATCCTTTTCCTCTCTGCACATCATGGTACATGGTAGAATTGGACTTAGGTGAGACTGCAGCATACGTGGATGAGAGACATTGGCTGGATTTTAAAAGCCGTATTTTCATTTTGGGTCAGAGCTTTGTTACGTCCGCAACAGATGCGTCGGTCCCCACGAGTGACACGTAGGTGTCCGAAAAATCTGACTATTCGTAATTAACCGGTTTCTTTAATTAGTATTGACTTAAAGATGGAATTTTCTTTCTTTGTTTTATTTTGTTTTTACGGAGTATCGAATGGATATATAACATATATTGATAGAAGATTCTAGTCCTTTTTTTCTTTTCTTTTCTTTAAAGTATAATAAGAGCTAGTTTGAATTTAATATAAAAAAAGTGATGGATTTTATAAATAAAATTTTTTATAATACTTAAGAAATAGTTAGTGTAAATTACTCAATAGAGAAAGATAAACATAAAAATGAGAGAGAAATAATAAAAAAATAATAAAATTTGAGTCAATGTAGAAATTTTTTTTATTACTTATGAAGAATAGGAATGTGATTTTTTTATGTATCTATTTCTCTACTCAAAAGTGAATACATAAACTCAAAAGGATTGACTTGAGTGAAAGAGGTTGGTCTCGAATTCGAGTGTTTGTGTATATAAAATTTTTTCTAAATAGTTATTTTTATATGTACATTTGATAGAATAATAAAAGATTTATCTGTATTTTTAAGTTTAAAATACCTTAAAGGATAAAAAAATCTATAAAATAATAATTATATATATATATTAATTATTTGTCGAGTATTATAAAAAAAAAAAATTTGTAGGTAATCATGTGAGCTACTTGACCAAGTTTCTTCGGAAGAACCGCCATTATTTGGTTCATGCAAGCTAACGTTTGGCCGGTTTTTGGTTGTTTCTCCGTTTGGATAACTGTGGCTGTATCTCCGTTAAAACCAATGTGAATATTCCAGTCAGATTCGAAAAGTTCCATTATATTCTCGTTCCGGATCACTTGGAAGACGATATTTATAAATCAAGAAACAGATTATATCACGATATGTTTGGTGGGCATTTGATCACCCAACTCCCATCCGTTTCCTTATGTATTTATTGTCTACGCACGTGCTCGGTTAAAAATATTGCGTGCACTGCTGCTATTATTGACCAATCAGATAGCGACATATCACTCTTGTGTTTAGTTTTGGGGAATACAGTATGCCCTTTCCACCTATTGAGTAGGTTTGATTTGGTCCTTCTACTAATAATAATTGCTTCAATGTTACCCTTGATGTATTATAACCTACTCAACAAGAGGTTATTTTTTTTAATAATTTTGCCATTTTTCCTCTATATTTATGATTTGCCCGTTTTCCTTTTTTTGGTGGAGGGCATAGATTGCAAAATGATCCAAAAAATTAATATTTTTTATAATAAGAGATTATGGGTTTAAATCATAACAGATTAATTTTGTTATAAATAGTATGTATGTGTGTAAAAAAATAAATAAATAAATAAACCGGAGAATATTATAAATAGATGGGAAGAAAGATATTATTGATCAATTTTGAAACTTTTTATTCTATGACTTATGATTTGTCATGGTGTAATTCAAACCGACTACATAAATAATCGTGAATGGCGTAATTCCACAGTTTGATGATTCAATTTGACTCACTTGCTATATTATTATTTTATAATCAATAGGTCTGGAATATTTGATATTCTCGACTGATGCTATTGTTATTTCCTTTCTTAGTACGTAGCTGTGTTATTTATTTATTTTTTTATTCTGCAATCGCACCAAAAAATAAAATAAAAAATATAATCAATCGTGGTGGAAAAAGTCCAAAGCAGGCATTGAAATTGTTAGTTTGAATGACATTTTCAAGCTGTCAGTTGTCATTCACTTTTATTAGCGCAGATTGCTAAAAAGTAATAGTTCTAATTCAAGAAGGTGGAATGGATCGAAATAGTCTTTTATTATTTAGATAAGTATATTCGAATTCAAGTTTTTTATACGTAAAAAAATATCTTAAATAGTCATGCTTCCTTAATAAGAAATTAATTTGAATTTTTTGACATATGATATTTTCCTCGTACTTATTATAGCGTCTTCATTAAATTCTAAATTTCTAATGAATACATTAGAAACAAGGAGCACGCTCTGGTGTGCACAATTCATACCGTTTTCCATCATAGGCTAATTAAATAACATACTATAAATTGGATGATTAAAAATTGTCAGTAGTAATTTCAGGATAAAAAAATTGTTAATAACAATTTGATGGCAAAATCAGATGATCTAGCTTTCAGAAACTAAATCGAGATTAATCTGATGAATGATGTATGGGTATTAGTCATTCCAAATCAAATAATTGCTATGAAATAATTTTATTATCACCAAATTTCTAAATAATTGTTTCGTCCCTATATCTTATATTTTTTTTTTTGACGTCGTGTATGTTTATGTATATTTTTTTAAATTAAACTTATGATGATAACGTGAAAAACAAACTTTCTATCATTCGAGCCACACAACCAAAAAATATTGGTAAAAATACTAGAATACCAATTTAATCATAGAAAATTGATGATTAGATCCACGGTTTGTAATCAAACGATTAATCCATCAAAAAAAGGGTATATGATCAAACAGGTTCGGACGGTGCTACTCTCATCGGGAGACAACCCACTTTTTTTATTAGCTCAGTAAGAGACCGGAGGAGTTGGTATCATGTGATCTAAGCAGAGCGTACGTGTTGAACGTTCGGATGATGCCCCGCTCCTCAAGAAAAGAAATCACAATCTACCGGTCAGCATCGGCAATGTATTGTTTTTCTTGGACAGAATGGGCCTGTCCTCTTTGACCATTGCAGGTTTCTTACTAGAGATGCAAGTATCATTCCACACCAACAACTTGCTGATTTTGCAACCTCATAACTTAAAAAGCATCTCCTTAGTCAACAGATTCTTGCTAATTTCCAGAGTAAATTACAAATTACTCGTTTTTTTTTTTTTTCAAGAAACAAACTAATTAGTTTTTATTGTTTAAAAAAATTCTCCTAGATTTTGATTCTATCATCAACTATTTCTTTTATCAATTTTTTTTTTGATATGATGATGATTAAGTGTTCTTAATATTTTTTGTTTTCAAATTGTGTTTTATTTTTATTTTAATTTATCTCATTCATCCATTTTCCTTTTCTCTTTTCAACCATTTTCATCATTATAACAAAACAACATTTTTTTTTATGTCATTTCCATGATCCTTAGTTGTCCAGAATACAAATCATATAAGAAAATGACGAAAAAATTATAGATATTTTTGTGATCCTCAATTGATCATCCTTTAGCTTGACGTAAAATGTATTTTAAGTATTATATATTAATTTGAAGGATCTGGCAAGAATTTAATAATGAAAAATAAATAATTTATTTTTTAAAACGAAAGAGATTAATTAATTTTTTTTTATCAAAACAAGAGGGATTAATTTATAATTTGTTTCTAATTTCCATGGAGTAATAAAAAAAAATGCATGCTTATACTCATCCTAATTTCTATCGCATCTCAACCTAATTGGGCTGTAAAACTATCACAGCCCAATTCTCTTCTGTCTAGCTTCTTTACACATTTTGACGTTTTCCTTTTAACCTACACAGTGATATTGACCCCCATTTGTTAATTGGCTCGCTCCACGTACCTAAATAATTTTTGTGTTTTTGGGTTTTAACTATTAAGATATTAATTATTATGTAAGTTTTCACAAATTAAAACTAGATTATTTTTCCTTTATGACAATAATTCTTAAATTTAGATTTTAAATGATAACGTGAGAAATAAATTTATTAACATTCAATCAATTATCAAAAAATATTGCAAAATTTTAGAGATAATGAAAAAATAATTAGAGTCTCGATTTATGTTCAAACTATTTCGAAGGTGCTGCTCACAAGTAACATTTGGGAGACACGATGACCCATCTTTTTTCATTAGATTAATACAGAGATCGGGATATCATTAAATCTAATCCTAACCTATGCATTAGACCATTGGATTATCCTTCAAAAAAATAATAAAAAATCCGCACTCTACCAGTCAACATCGCCAGTATTATTTTTCCTGGACTGAATGGGATGGTCCTCTCTGACCATGGTAGGTTTCTTGCTAGAGAGGCAAGAATGGTATCACACCTGCAAGTTGATAATTTGCAACCTCATAAAAAAGTGCAATGTTTTTATGATAAAATGGTCAGATAAGAAGACGTAATATCTACCTCCTTAGTCAACTTACAAAAGAAAAGAAAAAAATAAATAAAAAAAGTAAAATTTCGTAAATCCGTCATTTTTAGTTCGTATAATCTATTTTTGATCGGATCATAAAATCTAGCAGTAAATACATCTATTTGTGAAACAAAAAGAAGAAAAATCCGAGCCAATTTTTAATAGAGAAATTAAAATTGCATATACCTTCACCTCCTAACATGTTCTACCCAATTGAATTTGCTGAAATGAAGAGAAGAACTAAATTGGGCCCTTACATATGCCCTACTCCGCCTGCAGCCCATTCCTATTATGTTGGGCTTTTAAAACGATCAAAACCCATTCGTCTACTGTCTAACTTCTGTATAAGGTTTTGTTTCTTCTGAACGCAGCATATATACGCGAGGTTTGTGGGAATACGATATTAAAATCTTCCGATATATATTATACATATAAATTAATTCGAAAAAAATTATTATCAAATAAAACATATATTTTCTCTGTTCTAGAAAAACAAAAAATCTTCTTTTTTATTTATATTTGTCTCAAAATACTTTCTTGTCAAATGTCTTTTCTTTGATAAAAAAACCAAAATTTTCTCTTATTTCTTGTTCTTCACGGAATATAAATATATTTAACATAAAAATTTCAATTCTTTTTATTACATAAAAATATTCATTATTGTATGAACTTTACTGCAAGTTAAAAGTTTGGGAGTAAAATATTTTTATTTATATATTTTAATAGTTATTTTAAACTTAATCATTAATTAATTTAATGATATTTTTTAATTCATTGTCTTAATTTCGAATAAATTTTCTTTAAAATTAATATCGATTTCGTGTCAGAATTGAATTTGATGACTAACAATCTTAATAAAAAAAATATTTTTTTAAAAAATACAAACTTAAAATATTAATATGACATCATAATTAATAATTTTTTGTATGAATTTTTTTTTTTTAAGAAATGAAGTATTTAAATACTTGCCGAATTTGTTATTTGCTTATGCCGGATGCCAACTCTTTTAACTCCAGCTCGCACGCACAATCAATGGCTGCGTTCCGTGTGGCTTGATCTAACGTTTCCGTTACTAACAGTCTGATAGTCCCGAAAAAGGAAAGCTCAAAAGTCTCATTGTTTGAAAATAAGTTAACAGTCAGCACCTCCAGAGTTCAGGAACCATTCAAGCCATGCACGTAGCAGAGCTGCCCATCCTATCTTTGTACACACACCTCATTACGTGTCCTCCACCGAATACAGCCCTTTGCATGCAACTATTTTTTCTCTTAATTCCTCTAATACCCTTGCTGCTTTGCCATAATCTCCACCAACCCAAAATAAATTCACCACCCCATCTAAAAATTATTATTATTGTATATAAGCTAATTTATTATAAAAGATCCTGAACTATTTTTCAAAAGAAAAAAAATCTCTATTGTTTTTTATTTAGACATTTACCCCTTTTTTTAGTATGTAATTAAAATTCGTTCATCCTTTAATCAATCTCAAGCAATATAAAAAATACATAGAGCTATTAAAATGACACATGTCTTGAAAAGTTTAAACACAAAACACATATTGTTATTTTATGACTTTATGTATTTTTCACATGTGTTTAATGTGAATTAAAATTGATCAATAAAATAAAAAAACTTAATTATAGACTAAAAAAAATTTGAGACTCAAACTAGAAAAAAAGGATTAAAAACTTTTTTCATGTTAAAAATAGTTTATAACTAATTTATATGTAGCATAAAAATAAGTTATGTTTTTGTTAATTTAAAGATCAATATAATTTAATATTGTCATTGTTATCTCAAATTATGAAGGATTAATTATTCATTATCGCTATCTATAAATATAAAATTTAAAATCAAATCATGAAGACTTAATTAGCTAATTGATTAATGGTTACAATGGACATGAATAGATTACTAAAACTATTTGATTAATCGGGTTTTTAGACCTTAGTACGTAATATTGGCAGCTCATTTCATTCATTTCACAAAATTGGTAATTTCACTCTTCTACATAAGGATGGAAAAGTAATTAGAGTAACAACAGCATTTAAGGGGAAAAGGAAAAAAAAAAAAAACGTCTAACCTCCTTGCATTGCCATTTCTCTATTGTACTAGAGCCCTCCAAAATCAAGAAAATCAAGAGATCAACAGGAAGATGATCCGAAAAAGCGCAGCTCTAACATGCACTGTAATCCTTTCAACACTCCTAACCTTTACACTAATAACAGTCTCTGCAACTGATCTCCATGATACCCCACAGGACCCAACAATCCTCCAAGTCACTGACAATCCCACCCTTAACAACAGAAAGTTCTTGCAAAATGGTCTTAACCTTCTAGGAACTGAAGAGAAGTTCAACATGTTCATAAAGAACTACAACAAAGAGTATGCTACTAGAGAAGAGTACATGCACCGTCTTGGGATCTTCGGCAAGAACATGATCAGAGCTGTAGAGCACCAGGCTCTGGACCCCACTGCAATTCATGGGGTCACTCCGTTTATGGACTTGACTGAGGAAGAATTTGAGAGATTGTATACTGGGGTTTCGGGTGCTAGTGCTGTACCAGTGGTGGAAGGTTCAATGTCGTTTGTGGATGCTAGTGGTTTGCCTGACAGCTTTGACTGGAGAGAGAAAGGAGCTGTCTCTGATGTCAAGACGCAGGTACGGTTAATTACTAGTATATAGCAAGTTAATTAGAGGAATAATTTTCTAAATTTGATTAAGCAGCATGGTAGATGGCTGGAGAGGTGTGCAAATTCATAGTTTCTACATTTGTTTATGTGATTGTGAAACTGATGCAGGGTTCTTGTGGATCGTGCTGGGCTTTTAGCACCACTGGATCTGTTGAAGGAGCAAATTTTATTGCAACAGGGAAGCTTCTCAATCTTAGTGAACAACAGCTTGTTGATTGTGACAGGGTGGTTAGTTTCGGATTCACCCTTTCAATCTCTTATTCTGATCATTAGATAGGCATCACAGCACCATCACCACGTACCTTTAATTGAATAAACTTAATCATGCAAATCAAGGCCTGAAAGCTCTATTATATAAGTTTTGTGATTTCCTTGAATTTTTTTTTGTAGTGTGACAAGACGGACGAGAAATCCTGTGACGATGGTTGCGATGGAGGGCTCATGACCAATGCCTACAGGTATTTGATTGAGGCAGGGGGTTACAAGAGGAAAGTACATACCCTTATACAGGGAAACGTGGTGAATGCAAGTTTGATCCTGAGAAAATAGCTGTAAAAGTTGCTAATTTCACCAATATCGCTATCGACGAGAACCAAATTGCATCAAATTTAGTTCACCATGGACCTCTTGCAAGTGAGTTGAGTTGACCTTCTGTCATGAAGAATAGCATATATGGATACATATGGTTTCTGTCTTTCATTGCATTATATGATCGATTAAGATATTACATAGTAGACAATGATGCTGATAAACATGTAATCTGGGAAAATGCAGTTGGATTGAATGCAATATTCATGCAAACTTATATTGGAGGAGTGTCGTGCCCACTTATTTGTGGCAAGAGATGGCTCAACCATGGAGTTCTACTTGTTGGGTATGGTGCAAGAGGGTACTCCATTCTTAGGTTTGGCTACAAGCCGTATTGGATCATCAAGAACTCATGGGGTAAGCACTGGGGAGAGAAGGGATATTACCGGCTTTGCAGGGGACATGGTATGTGTGGCATGAACAAGATGGTCTCTGCAGTGGTAACCAAGGTTGCCTAAATATACCTATGCAAGCCAAACCAAAGGGAAGAAAAAGAGGAAAATAAAGATAGAACTTGCTGTTAAATTTAGTTAAAGTCTACCTTGCTATTTGTTATTTGTATTTTGCTACTTAAAAAGGATGGCGATGAGTATAAACAGGTCATAAATTATGCACTATGTAATCAAAATACTATAGTTCCTTTGCCTTTTTGTTTCCTGACCAAGCTGAGTAGTTTTGGCATCTTTGATGGCTCGAGGTAGATATGCTGTTTGGTTGTGAGAAAGAAAACAGAAAACTACCCAGAAACTGTTGAAAAATAAATCAATTCATTTCAGAAATGTTGATGAAACATCAAGTTTGGATTAAAAAAAGGCATTGTCTTTGCAGTTGTCACAATTTGTTCAATGAGCTGTTCCTGTGCACAAATGTCTAAGCAATATTTCGCTATCAGCATGAACTGAAAGCAAAGTTATAAATTTATTACGAAACAAAAGAAAATTTAGTTTGCTATAGAATAAAAGAAATTAATAAAATCATTGCCCAGTTTGATGTCTACCCATTTTGAGCCATTCTCATGTAATGCAAGTGTGAAATTGAGTAGCAAGGAGCCAACGACTTAAAAGTCAGCTACCTAGTTTTAGCGTGAAGGAGTTTCTTTTATTGTGTATTTTTTTCTCTTGGTCCCTCTTTCTCTGTTTTTATTGAAAGAGGTGATTTTTGGCTTGCTTTTTTGACACAATTCTCGTTTTCCAGAAACCATCTTCTTGTTGGCCTGGCATAGGATTTTCTTTTCTTCAGTTATAAAATTTGATCCTCAGAAACTTCAAGTTGTTTTGTATGCTTGACTCCAAGGAAGAAAATATTATCCGTCATCTTCGAGTTTTTCAATTTAGAAAAAAAGTCTCGATATCCATCATTTTCACGGAGATTTTAGCACCGCAACAAATTGAATACGACGTACAGCATTGCGGGCTCAACTTGTCAAAAGTTTACTCCAGGCTTTTTTGACGTTTTGCTATGGATGCATCTATGTGTCATCTGTGAATCCATCAAGCTCCTTGATTAGTAGTAGACAACAAACTTTGTTGTAAAAAGTCTTCCATCCATCATTTCCCTATTTATTTGTATCAATTGCACAACAAAACTAGTTAACCACATCTTCAATGCTTGAGCTCCAGGATAGCATAAAAAATGGAGCTTTCGTGCATGAGTTCATTCACTTTCTGGCTACTTTTCTTGTTGATAATTCAGCTCTGCTTTCCGTTCTCCTTAGCTCAAGAAAATGAGACAGATATACTCTCCCTCCTAGCTTTCAAGGATCAGATTACTGATGATCCCCTTGGTATTCTGAGCACATGGAACGAATCCACAAACTTCTGTGAGTGGTCAGGTGTTACATGTGGAAAGCAGCATCAGAGAGTTGTAGGGCTTGACTTACAGTCTTGCAAACTTGTGGGCATCTTATCTCCTCACATTGGCAACTTGAGTTTCCTCAGGACATTAAACCTGGAAGACAACAGATTCGGCCAGAATATCCCTCAGGAGCTAGGTCGTTTGTTTCGGCTCCAGACGTTAAGCCTTGGGAACAACACATTCAGTGGTGAAATCCCTGTCAACATTTCGCGCTGCTCGAATCTCTTAAGTATTGGATTGGGGAGTAACAATCTCACTGGCAAGCTTCCTGCAGAACTTGGATTATTATCAAAGCTGCAGGTAATTAGTTTCCAACATAACTTTCTATTTGGTGAGATTCCGCCTTCTTATGGAAATCTTTCTTATCTTGAGAAAATTCTTGGAGTGCGGAATTATTTGCAAGGAGGCATTCCCGACAGTATTGGGCAACTAAAAAGACTAACAGACTTTTCATTTGGTGTTAATAGTTTGAGTGGTATGATCCCTTCCTCCATATACAATCTTTCATCCCTTGTTCTTTTCAGTGCCCCAGTTAACCAACTTCATGGGATTCTTCCTCCTGACTTAGGCCTAAATCTTCCAAACCTTGAAAGCTTTGTGATTCACAGTAACCAATTTAGTGGAAGAATTCCAGCCACAGTATCTAATGCCTCGAAAATTTCTAATCTTCAACTTAGAAACAACAGTTTCACTGGGAAAGTGCCTTCTTTAGCAGCTCTGCGGAATCTACGGCAGCTGGTACTCAATTTCAATAACCTTGGAAACAACGAGGATGATGACCTGGATTTCCTCTATCCGCTTGCAAACAACACCAGTTTGGAAGTTTTGGCGATAAATCATAACAACTTTGGAGGGATGCTGCCTGAAATAGTTAGCAACTTTTCAACAACGCTCAGAATAATGGCAATGGGAGAAAATTACCTACGTGGAAGCATTCCAACTGATATTGGAAACCTCATCAGCTTGGAAACTTTGGGCTTGGAGTTGAATCAATTGACTGGCATTATACCAAGTTCTATTGGCAAATTACAACATTTTGGTGTTTTTAATATTAATGGAAACAATATATCAGGAAACGTCCCCTCTTCTCTTGGCAATATTACTTCCTTGCTAGAAGCTTATTTATTTACAAATAACTTACAGGGAAGAATCCCATCAAGTCTTGGAAATTGCCGGAATTTGTTGATATTGCGTCTTGATCAAAACAATTTGAGTGGTTCTATACCGGAAGAAGTATTTGGAATTTCATCACTATCAATGTATTTAAACCTGGCTGAAAATCAGTTGACAGGTTCCCTTCCCTTGGAAGTAGGTAAGCTGGTGAATCTTGGAGGTTTGAGCGTTTCCAAAAATCAGTTATCTGGAGAAATTCCCAGAACTCTTGGTAGTTGTTTGAGTTTGGAGTATTTGAATTTGGAGGGGAACTTTTTCCGAGGGTCCATTCCCGAGTCTTTGAAATACTTGAGGGCACTTCAAGTTCTTGATCTCTCTCACAACAACTTGACTGGCCAAATTTCGATTTTTTTGGCAGAGTTTAAGCTGTTGACTAGTTTGGATCTATCATTTAATGACCTTGAAGGTGAGGTGCCTGGGCAGGGGGTCTTTGCGAATGCACAAGCATTTTCAATTTTGGGAAATAAGAAGCTTTGTGGAGGAATACCTCAGCTGAATCTGTCCAGATGCATATCCAAGACGTCAAAAAAGCTGAAATCTTCAACGAAGCTGAAATTGATAATTGCAATTCCTTGTGGCTTTCTTGGAATAACCTTGCTTATCTCTTCCCTACTTTTCTTTTTCTTGAGAGAAAAGAAAAGTAAGCCAGCTTCAGGGTCCCCATGGGAGAACACTTTTCAGCGAGTAGCCTACAAAGACCTGCTTCAAGCAACCAATGGGTTCTCCTCTACCAATTTAATTGGTGCAGGTAGTTTTGGATCTGTGTATAAAGGAATCCTCATATCAGATGGAGCAGCTGTTGCAGTGAAAGTATTCAACCTGCTACGGGAAGGAGCTTCCAAAAGTTTTATGGCAGAATGTGCAGCCTTGATAAACATCAAGCACCGAAATCTCGTAAAAGTTTTAACAGCATGTTCTGGCATTGATTTTCAAGGTAATGATTTTAAAGCTCTTGTTTATGAGTTCATGGTCAATGGGAGTCTAGAAGAGTGGTTGCATCCAGTTCAAATATCTGATGAGGTACCCAAGCGAAGAGATTTGGATCTCCTTCGACGGTTGAACATTGCAATTGATGTGGCTAGTGCACTCGATTATTTGCACCACCATTGCCAAATGCCTGTTGTTCATTGTGATCTGAAGCCAAGCAATGTTCTTCTAGATGGTGACATGACTGCTCATGTTGGTGACTTTGGATTAGCAAGGCTCCTCCCGCAAGCTTCCCATCAGTTATTTTCGGATCAGACAAGCTCCATTGGTTTGAAAGGTACCATTGGCTATGCAGCCCCAGGTAAAATCATAATAATCTTTCCTTCCATTATTTACTTGTTCTGATTTTTTATTTCAGTTTACAATCTGAGTGTGACTCCATTTGATTTACATTAAAAGCTTAATTATTTTTTAATTATATATGTTTATCTGGCGCATGATTCCCCTACAAAGGTTCCATTTCACAATAAATTTGGACTGTTAAATTAAATATTAGACCTTGTTGTTTCCATTTCACGATGAGTATTTGCAAACTGCAGAGTACGGCCTCGGGAGTGAGGTGTCACCTTATGGGGATGTGTACAGCTATGGGATCCTATTATTGGAGATGTTTACAGGAAAGAGACCTACAGATGGCATGTTTAAAGATGGGCTGAACCTGCATAACTTTGCTAAAATGGCTTTGCCAATCTCTGTGGCCGAATTGCTGGACCCAATACTTGTAACAAAAGCTGAGGAAATGAGTGCTGGTGCCTCTCACAGGATGAACTATATTGGAAATCATATGGAGTGTCTTACTGAAATCATCAAGGTTGGAGTCGCTTGTTCTGCTGAGTTCCCAAGAGAACGAATGGAAATTAGCAATGTTGTAGTCGAACTGCATCGAATCAGGGACATTCTTGCTGGACCTCAGACTCGTGGGAACCGCGAAATTATTGCTGCACCAAAAGGTAAAAGTTCCATCATTGAATTAGTACTTGGACAAATAGTAAAGGTGGCATTCGTGAGGCAAACCCGTATTGCACATTCTCATTTTTTGAGAGATACATGTTATACAAAACAAAAAGCATATATGAGGATGTGTATGTTTTAGAAGCTGGATTTTCTGCATATACAGCTTAAACATTTACAGGTGGTCCATTAATTTGACAATAAGTATGCCAATTTTTTTCTTTTCATGCATTGCAGGTCTGTGATCAGGTGACCATAGTGCCAATGAAGTACTCAGGATCCAGAGGAGTATAGATGCCAACATCTAGATGGTTGCAGAAGTGGAATTAGACTTCCTCGTGTTGTCACAGGAACTTGTTTTAAGTTTCAACATGTCCCTGTTTACTTTCAGTTTAGAATGCCTTACCGATATGTTAGTTTATCAGGTTATGTGAACTTAAGGATTGAATATTAAGTATTTGATGAAGGTTTTTAGTTTCTAATAACCAAGGAATGTCAGGAGGAGAAGCATTCTCATAGTTTAGTCAGATCATCAGGTCGATATTTGTGGTGCGTCTTTAATTTTTTTAAAAAAAAAAAAAACCAGTTAGTTAATTTTTTTGTTTTTTTAGTGGTAAATAAGAAAGAAAAGGAAACGAAATTGCACCCATTCTAGTAATGGAATTCCCAAGTCAAATAATAAAAACAGGTCTAGATCTTTACAAGTTTTTATGGGGTTTTTTGACTCCTGATTTTTTACTAGTTTCTCCCCTCTATTTTTTATTTATTTTAATTTTTTTCTTGTTTCCTCACCAAGCTGAGTAGCTTTGGCATATTTGATGGCTTGAGGTAGATATGCTGTTTGGTTGTGAAAAAGATAACTACCCAGAAACTGTTGAAAAATATATTAATGCATTTCAGAAATTTAGAGGAAACATCAAGTTTGGATAAAAAAAACCCATTGTCTTGGCAGTTGTCAGCATCTTTTCAATGAACTGAAAGCAATGTTATAAATTTATTGCGAAACAAAAGAAAATGTGGTTTACTTTAGAATAAAAGATAGAAATTTGTCAAATCATGGTCCTGATTGATGTCACCCCATTTGAGCCATTGTCATGTAATGCAAGTGTGAAACTGGGTAGCAAGGAGCCAACGCCTTAAAAGTCAGCTACTAGTTTTAGAGTGAAGGAGTATCTTTTCTTTTGTTATTTTTTTTCCTTGGTCCCTCTTTCTCCTTTTTATATATTTATTGAAGGAGGTGATTTTTGACTTGCTCTTTTCATGCAATTCTCCTTGTCTAGCATCATCTTCTTGTTGGCCTGGCATAGGATTTCTTTTCTTCAGTTATAAAATTTGATCCTCAGAAACTTCAAGTTGTTTTCTATGTTTGACTCCAAGGAAGAAAATATTATCCGTCATCATGAAGTCTTGCACCTTAGAAACAAAACGTCTAGATCACCATCATTTCATGGAAATTTTGGTACCGCAACAAATTGAATACGACGAACAGCATTGCGGGCTCAAACTTTTCGAACGTTTACTCCAGATTTTTTTGACATTTTGCTATGAGTGCATTAAGTCTTCCATCCATCATTTCCCTTTTTATTTGTATCAATTGCTCAACAAAGCTAGTTAGCCTTAACTTCAATGCTTGAGCTCAAGGATAGCATAAAAATGGAGCTTTCAGGCATGAGTTCATTCGCATTCCGGTCACTTTTCTTGTTAATAGTTCAACTCTGCTTTTCGCTCTCTTTAGCTCAAGAAAACGAGACAGATATACTCTCCCTCCTTGCCTTCAAGGATCAGATTACTGATGATCCCCTAGGTATTCTGAGCACATGGAACGAATCCACACACTTCTGTGAGTGGTCAGGTGTTACATGTGGAAAGCAGCATCAGAGAGTTGTGGAGCTTGACCTACAGTCTTGCAAACTGTCGGGCAGCTTATCTCCTCACATCGGTAACTTGAGTTTCCTTAGGGCATTAAACCTGGAAAACAACAGCTTCAGCCAGAATGTCCCTCATGAATTGGGTAGTTTGTTTCGACTACAGGCTTTGGTCCTAGCAAACAACTCCTTCAGTGGTGAAATCCCTGTCAACATTTCGCGCTGCTCGAATCTCTTGAGCCTTGAAGTAGATGGCAACAATCTTACTGGCAAACTTCCGGCAGAACTTGGATCATTATCCAAGCTGAAGGTATTTAGTTTCCAAAGGAACAGTCTATTTGGTGAGATTCCACCTACTTATGGAAATCTTTCATGCATGGAGGAAATTAATGGAGGACTGAATAATTTGCGAGGAGACATTCCAAACAGCATCGGGCAACTGAAAAGATTGAAGCACTTCGCTTTTGGCACAACTAACCTGAGCGGTACGATCCCTCCCTCCATATACAATCTCTCATCCCTTACTTATTTCTCTGTTTCAGCAAACCAACTTCATGGGAGTCTTCCTGTTGACTTGGGCCTAACTCTTCCAAACCTTGAAGTCTTTAGAATTCACACCAACCAATTCAGTGGACCGATTCCAGTAACAATCTCCAATGCCTCTAATCTATCTCTTCTTGATCTTGGAATCAACAGCTTCACTGGGAAAGTGCCTGCTTTAGCAGGGCTTCCTAATCTACGGTTGCTGGCAATTGATTTCAATGATGTCGGAAATGGCGAGGATGATGATTTGGACTTTGTCTATCCCCTTGCAAACGACACAAGCTTGGAACTGTTCGGTATGAATGATAATAATTTAGGAGGTGAGCTGCCGGAAATAGTCAACAATTTTTCAACCAAGCTTAGATTCATGACACTCGGAAACAACCAACTACGTGGAAGCATTCCGAATGATATCGGTAATCTAATAAGCCTACAGGGTTTGGGGTTGGAGTCAAACAAACTGACTGGCTTCATACCAAGTTCTGTGTGTAAGTTACAAAATTTAGTTGCTTTGGGTCTTACTGGAAATAAAGTTGCTGGGAATATCCCATCTTCCCTTGGCAATTGTACTGCATTGGTCGAACTTTATTTAGACCAAAACAATTTGCAAGGAAGCATCCCATCAAGTCTAGGAAATTGCCACAATTTGTTGACATTGAATCTCTCTCGAAACAATTTTAGCGGTCCCATACCAACTGAAGTAATCAGCATAACTTCCTTGTCAGTGAGTTTAGACTTGTCTCAAAATCAGTTGATAGGATCCCTTCCCTCTGAAGTTGGTAAGTTGGTGAACCTAGGATATATAGATGTTTCACATAACAGGTTATCAGATGAGATCCCCGGAAGTCTTGGAAGCTGCATTATGTTGGAAACTTTGCATTTGGAGGGGAACTTCTTCCAAGGGTCTATTCCGAAGTCTCTTAGTTCTTTGAGAGCGCTTCAATATCTTAATCTTTCTTACAACAACTTGACAGGCCAAATTCCGAGGTTTTTAGCAGACTTCAAGTTATTGCAGTACTTGGATCTGTCATTCAATCGCCTTGAAGGTGAGATGCCTATGCAAGGAGTTTTTGGGAATGCAAGTGCAGTCTCCATTTTGGGAAACAATAAGCTATGTGGAGGAATATCCCGGTTCAATTTATCCGCATGCGTGTCCGAGGGGTCAAAAAAGCTGAAATCTTCTATCAAGCTGATGTTGTTAATTGCAATTCCTTGTGGCTGTCTAGGAGTATTGTGTGTGATAGCTAGTCTGCTTTTCTGTTGCTTGCGGAGAGCAAAAGATAAGCCTGCTTCTGATGCTTCTTGGGAGATCTCATTTCGGAGAGTAAAATATGGAGAACTCTTTCAAGCAACCGAAGGGTTCTCCTCATCCAACTTAGTTGGCGCAGGCAGTTTTGGGTCTGTGTACAAAGGAATTCTTGCATCAGATGGAGCAGCTGTTGCAGTGAAGGTATTCCACTTGCTACGCAAAGGAGCTTCCAAAAGCTTTATGGCAGAATGTGCAGCCTTGATAAACATCAAGCACCGTAATCTTGTAAAAGTTTTAACAGCATGTTCTGGCATTGATTTTCAAGGTAATGATTTTAAAGCTCTTGTTTATGAGTTTATGGTCAATGGGAGTCTAGAAGAGTGGCTGCATCCAGTTCATATATCTAACGAGGCAAGAAATTTGAGCCTTATTCAGAGGTTAAGCATTTCAATTGATGTTGCTGCTGCATTCAACTATTTGCACCATGATTGCCCAATGCCAGTTGTTCATTGTGATCTGAAGCCTAGCAATGTTCTTCTGGATGGTGATATGACCGCTCATGTTGGTGATTTTGGATTAGCAAGGTTCAGTCCGAAAGCTTCCCATCAATCATCTTCAAATCAGAGTAGCTCTGTTGGCATAAAAGGAACCTTTGGCTATGCAGCCCCAGGTAACATCAGAATAATTTTCCATTACTGGTTGATTCTAATTCTTAGATTATTCCTTTATGGTTCCATTCTTGAGGTATTTGATTGCATTGAAAACTGCATTTTCATTGAGGTCTTATATAGATATTTAGCACAAGATCACAATCAATAATTCCTGCCAAAGGTAATAAACATCCACTGATAATTTCAACCATGTATATGATATGCAGAGTACGGTAGCGAGCACAAGGTGTCCACTTATGGGGATGTGTACAGCTTTGGCATCCTATTATTGGAGATGTTTACAGGAAAAAAACCAACAGATGGCATGTTTAATGACGAGCAGAACCTTCACAATTACGCTAAAATGTCATTGCCTGACCGTGTAGTTGATGTTGTGGATCCCATACTTCGGAGAGAAGTTGAGCAAGCAAGTGCGGATGCCTCTTGTAAGAAGAATTACATTGGAGCTCACAAGATCTTGCAATGTTTGACAACAATAATCAAGGTAGGACTTGCTTGTTCTGCAGAACTCCCGAAAGAGAGGATGGACATTAGCACTGTTGTGGCTGAATTGCAAGGGATTAGGGACATTCTCCTCGGAACAAGAAGGCATGGAATTGGACAGCATGAGATCATGATCCCCTTACCAGAAGGTACAGTTGATCCATCATTATGCTAATATTCAGACTTGTAAGTTCACAATCTGTTCTATAGGTGTGTGAGGTCATCAAAGTTGCTATTCAAAAGCGAGTACTACAGGGGCCAATACCTTCACATTTGTAGACGTAAAATGGCATTGCAAATGCATATGGTTACCTTTGAACACTTTCCTGTTTGTTTGTTTCCACGTTTCTGTTTGCTCAAAGACTTAAATATGGGTAAGAGAACTGGAAGATATATAAACTTGTAATGTAATGGTTGTCAATATTCTCAGTCATCTCATCACCATTTCTTGCTAACAAATTTTGTTATTATTATTTGCTATCAGAGTGGATAAAAAATTTACTAATGAAATCAACCTTTTGTCTGCAACTCAATTAATTCCGTGACCTCTCTCAATGAATTTAGGTTAGGTTTGAATATATATGAATATGTTAATTATCTCTTCTAACTTTTCATGCAAATTAAAAAAATTATTAATTGTTTTATCGTATCAGTATTTTTTATTCATATTTTTTTTAATAAATATTCTTTAGATTTGTATTTAGACGATATTTTGAGATTTTAATTAAACATATTTTAAAAAATATATTACCTAAATTTTTTACTGTATAAATATTTTGAAATATATATAGTTAAGGAGTATATTTGTGGTTATGAATTATTGATTATGAATTTGTTTGAATCAGGAAAATAGTTGGGCTTTTATGAACCTTTGTTTTTTGCATTCGGAACTCAATTCAAATGGGCTTCCTTATATTCCTCTTCACCATTACTCTATCCCCGCGCCATGTGGTTTCTTTGGGTAATTGAAGCCCACGAACTTTGATTCGGCCACAGGCGAATTCAAACAGGTTCAGAAATCTTACCTTGGTAAGGCGAGCTGGCCCGACTCCATTGTTAATTGGCTATAATTTTGTTTTGTTTCAAATATAGGCTAAGTCCAATACTTTTAGCCCAGTAACACTCATCATGGAAATTTTCCTTAAATGTCACTTTTAGGTGAGAAAACAAAAATATGCCGAAACACCAAGAAGACTTAACTAGTTTGTGACCCCCGTGCTTCACTGCAGGACTAATATGATTCAATGTGTGGAGCGATAGTGTTGATGATGTCATAAAAAAATGATATTGCTAATGAATTAATTTGTAATGAATTATTGATCAATCAATAAATTTATTAGCGACAATTTATTATACTATAGGGAACAATGTTGTGTTATGCAGAGTGGGTAAATAAATTTTTTTATTTAAATAATATATAAGAAGGATTGCGAACAACATTAAAAGAGTCAAAACATCTTTAATTTAAAAATATTACTTTTTATGAGTAAAAAGATCAACATTAATCGATGTATTCGTAAGTCAGTTGTTAGTTAGAGCTTTTGCAAGATGATTCCCTCCTTCAACATCAATGGGGAAGACGTGAGAAGTTTAGAACTGATGATTTTTTCCTTCAACGTCAAATTCTATTAGTACATGACAGTTGCAATATCCTTGATCGTTTTACCTCCTTAAATATTTATATTGAGTGAATGAATTTATTTTAATGTATGAATATTTATTTAATGTATTAAACTAATATTTATGTCTGCATGAAAAATTAAATATTATGCAAACATAAATATCAGGCAATGTAAATGGGTTGCTAAGTTGTCAATTTAACAAGTTTAATTATTAAAAGTTAGGGTGGTGAATAATTCAGGTACTTAATTGATGAATTAATGAGAATTTTTTTATAAAATGTCTAGAGATTATAAATATTTAATAATTAAGGATTGTAATAACAAAAATATAAAAAAGGAACTTAGTTCCTAATCATATGTAACCAAACATCTTTCTCGTTAAGTAAAATGCAATTAACCATGGCAAAAATAGTTGGATCACTCAAAAATATGAAAACAAAGACAGAGAAATAGGACATCACACTAATAATAATCGATCTAATTAAAAAAATTACAAAAATCAACATGGTAGTTATTTTGAAAATAAGATAAATATTTAATTGATATGGATAAATAAAATAATTTAACTAGAATCAAATGCAAAAAACTTGAGTTTAACGAAACCGAAAGTATTGTTTTAAAGCCTTTATTTCAAATATTTTATACATTCAATAGCTAAGTCCGTATATTGACTTCGATATCTATAAAGCACATAATTAATTAAATAGAGCAAATCTACATGTTAAGAAAACCAACTTACAATGAAGATCTGTAAGAATTGTTGCTATATTATTGTAATTATTGTTAGAATTTATCATGCACATAAGAATCCTAAGTTCTAGCACCATTATTAATTTGTTATAATTAGGTCTAATCAAAAGTTAGTTTAAAATAAATCCAAATTCCTAATCCACTTGCGCTAGAAGAATAAGCACCAATGTCTATTAAAGCAATAAATTAAAGCATGGAGAGAAAAGAGACCTACGAGTCTTAAACCAACTAATCATAGAAAAAACAAGTTAAAGAACAAACCTAGAAGCGACCATGCAAACCGATAGATTTTTCTTCTTTGTAGCAAGTTTAAGACAAGTCAAGTCCATGTTGCCATCATCACGTAAAAGCCATTTAAGAATCAGTAACAATTAGGACAATAACCATGATTGAAAAGATTGAGCCTTGAATCAAATTTTATAATCTTGACAACCTCATTGAACATTATTGACCAACAAAATGATAAATATTGCCATATTAAAACCGTAATATCTACCGAGAAAAATACTAATTGTAAATATTTTTGTACTTTTTTGCCTCTAAGTAGAATAAAGGTAAATTGCTAATTTAATTTTACAACAATAAGGTTTTTTATGGGTATTAAACGGTCATATATCATGATAAATTATTTCAACAACACTCCTCAATAACTTAACCCATTCACGAGTCATATTTAACAAGCAATATAGCTTGGGCAAACCTCTTACCATTATCCTAATCTCAATCATCCTTGCCAACATGCGAAACTTTTATTGTGGTAATTATCAACACATCGAATAAAGATCGAAGCACTTCCATTGAACTATCACCAAGTATATAAATGAATAAATAATTAGAACCGAGATCAAAGGATGTATGCATATAAGTTCACGATAGGAATGCATGAAAGAAGTATTAATTTCTATCTAATTTAAATTTAACAAAAACAAAATTGAAACTGACATAATATCCATAAATTTATCAAAATAAAGCAAAAACACCGACCAACAACATAACTCATATTTTTTGCCATATCTTTTTTCTTCACCTCTTCCTTATTCTCTTTAAAGACTTTCCTTCTTTTTTTTTCAATAAACATGTTTAACCATTATTATAAATTCAAAACCTAACCCAATGAAAAAAAAATCCAAAAAGAAATTAGCAAAATAAGATAATCACATCAATCAAATAGAAAAGAAAAATCATCGAAAAATCTATTAAGAGTTATCATTGCCACTTAAAAGTGATAGATCCTAAAAGTCTCACCACCTAAGATAAAAATCCATTGGTTAATAAGTGTATCGAGCCTCCGAATAGAAACAATAAGAATGAAAGGCCAATCGGACAAAAAAAGGTAAAAGATATGATTTAAAATAATTTTTCTCACCACAAACAATAAAAAGGAAAACATATCAATTGAAAAAACTAAATGAAAACAAACCATAATCAACTAAAAATAAATAAATAAATAAAAGTGAAGGAAAAAATAAACCTAACGAAGAAGAAAAGCATTATGGAATCAAGTAAATAAAGCAATCGAAATTCTACATTTTGAGGAAAAGAATAGACAAAATAAATTTAAAAAAAAAGTCAAAAGAGGTCAAACACAAATTATTAGAAGGAAAAAAATATTTATCTAGTCATGAACCAACTGGATACAAGCAAAAATACTTGAGACAACATAATCAAGCTGGTGAAGAGGTCCTAATCATGAATAGAATTATTAAAATAGTAATTAAAGAGATCTAAGAACCAAGAAATCTCTAGAAAGGGATGACGATGGTGGACTTGGTGGCCGAAGTGTTCTATGATATTATCAAGTAATGACCCCAAGTATTCTCTTTTAGATCAAAATAGAAAAACTTGTGTTCCACTTGTTGAGTATTGCACATGAGCTTTACATCATTCCCTCCCCCTTCTCCTTCTCCACTGGCACCTTTATCTATTCTAATAGACAATAATATGCAAGCAAGAAGTTTTAATTAATAAAAAAAAAAGAAAAGAAAAGGAGTGACGGAGGAGGTAGATCCGAAAGATAAGGATAGAATGCCACACATGCACACTCCAATTGAGAAAAAACATACCATCGCACACTTCAATTGAGAAAGAGCATCATCGGCAGCAAGAAATGAATAGCAATAAGAAGACCAATTAAATACATCAATTGAAAAAAAAATCCAACATCTTGAGAAAAAGAAACAAAAAAAATTAAAAAAATTAGACCCATATTATTGAAAGAAACAAAACTACTTATTTAGTGATGAACCAATTGGATCTAGGTGAAAACGAGTTGAGACAACACGAAGGGAAAGAACCAAATTCGAAAGAAATTGTTAAGGGAAAATAAATCTTTATAGGAAGCACAATCTGCTGTGCCTTTTAACATCATCACTCTTCTTTGACGTGCATGCCATAAGAAAAACTCAAAATAAATCACAATTTTTCGAATGAAAGAACAGAGTGAAATTTTTTTTAAAAAAGCAATTATCGCTTAGAGAAAAGAGACGAAAGCTAACCCTATGTTTGGATAATTCCTCTTGGGAGGAAAGAAAAGAGAGGAAAGAAAGTGAGAGAAAAGAAAAAAGGGAGGAAAGAAAATTATTTTCCACTTGTTGTTTGGATAAGAGTGGAAAGGAAAGGAAAGAAAATACATTTCCTTTGTTTGGAAGAGGAAGGAAAGAAAATGTATGATTGTATATTTACCATAATACCCTTGTGATTATATTTATATATTTAAATACTTATAATAAATTTATATGAATATTTTTTTCATGAAAATAACATAAATTATAATAAAATAAAAATCTAGCATGTAACATCTATCCGAAATGATATGGATAATGAATTATCTACATAAAATAATCGAT